CTCTAGCGTAGAACCTTCATCCCACCTGCACAGCTACTTCACCACGCTGGCAAAGACTTTCTAGCTTCCACCTCTGACCTTTAGGCCTTCCCAGAAAAGTTCCGTAAAAGAGACTGGCGTGAGTCCTTCTTGTGGGCTCTAGGGCTCCAGTTGGACTCCTGGGAGGCACTGTCATGTGTATGGTGCTGTGGATAGATTTCCTAACTTTCTTGTGTCAACTGTAGGTGACCATTATAAAAATATTATAAATTCCATGTCCTGATTCTAATTGTTCTCCTTACAACTCCTGACTACAACAGTAAGTCAATACATGTCAGTTATACCATCAATGTTAATGGTCTCAATTCACCAATCAAAAAATAAGATTCAACAACATGCTACATACAAGAAACATTTAATTAAAAAAGAAATTCATAGACTGAAAGTCAAATGAATGGAAAACAATGTGACAATGTGACAGTAACCCAGAAAAAAGCAAGGATAGCTATTTTATTTGCAGAATTTCAAGCCAACACTGATTAAGAGAGACAATGAAAATTACTACATCCTCGTAAAGGGAATAATCCAGGAGGAAGAGATAACAACCACACACACACACCCCAAATACCAATGCACCCAGCTACATATAACGAATACTGACAGGCATGAAAACTCAAATAATACAGTTGTAATGGTGCACTAATACAGTTGTAATCGTGAATTCAATACCCCACTGTCACAAAAAGATAGATCAACTAGACAAAATACAAACAATGCAATATTAAAACTGAACCAAACTGTTGAGGAAATGGACTTGGTAGATATCTATAGAGCATTTCACCCCGCAACATCAGAATACACATTCTTCTCAGCAGCATATGGGATTTTCTCCAAAATAGACCTCATACTAGCTCAGAGAACATGTTTAAGTAAATGCAAAGGAGCTGAAATTATCCCATGCGTATTATCTAATCATAGTGCAATGAAATTGGAAACCTACAGCAAAAAAAAAAACCACGAAAACTTCATAAACACATGGAAATTAAACAGTAGCCTTCTGAACAACCCATGGGTCACAGATGAAGTTAAAGAAGAAATTAGATAGTTTTTACAATGATAACAACAATACAACATACTGGAACTTATGGGACACAATAAAAACAGCCTAAGAGGGAAATTTACAGTAGTAAATACTCGTATCAAGGAAACAGAGCAAGTGCATATGAACAACTTAATAGTGAATCTTAAACATCTAGAAAAAGAAAAGCAGGCTAAACCAAAAAATCTCATTTGAGGAAGGAAATTATAAAGATCAGAGCAGAAATTAATGCACTGGAGACTTAAAAAACAATACAAAAAAATCGAACTCAAGAATTGGTTCTTTGAAAGATAAATAGAACTGACAAACCCTTATCTAATCTTATCAAAAAAAGGAAAGAAAATACTCAAATCCACACAATAAGGAATGAAAAGGGTTAAATCACAACAGACCCTGCAGAAATTCACAGTATCATCTATTACTACTTTGAAAACTTGTATTCTAATAAGATGGGAAAGGCAGAAAAAAATGGACAGATTCCTAGAAACATATGAGCTACCAAATTCAAATCAAAAGGATATAAAAATCTTAAATAAACCAATATCAATCAAGGAAATCCAAGATGCAATGAAAAACCTATCACAAAGAAAAGCCCAGGTCCTGATGGATTCACTGCTGAATTCTACAAAAGATTTAGAAAACACCTAAAACCACTACTTCTCAGGCTCTTTAATGGAATTGAAAGGAAACCGCTACTCCCAAACTCATTCCTGGAAGCAAGTATTACCCTGATGCTGGAAGGACTCAACTTCAACTAGAATTAATTATAGGCCAATCTCCCTAATGAGCACAAATGCAAAAATCCTCATTACAACACTTGCAAACAGAATGTGGCAAATCATCAAGAGATAATTTACACCATGACCAAGTGAGATTCATCCCACGAATTCAGGAATGGTTTAACATTTGTAAATTAGTAAGTGTAATACATCATATTAACAGAGCCAAGGACAAAAATCATATGATCATTTTAATAGGTACAGGAACAGCTTTTTACAAAGTCCAGTACCCATTCATGATAAAAATCCTACAGAAAATTGGAATACAAAATTTTTTATCTCAATCTGATAAAAGCCATCTATGACAAGCCAACAGACAACCTCATATTACTCAGGACAAAACTGAAAGCTTTCACTCTAAAATCAGAAACAAGACAAGGATGTACAGTGTCTCCACTCTTACTTAACATAGTTTTGGAAACTTTAGCCACAGAAATTAGACAAGAGAAATAAATTAAAGGAGTTAGGAAAGGAAGAAATTAAATTATTATTTGCAGATGACATGATACTCTATATGGAAGACTCCAAAAACTCCACTAAAAAATTGTCTAGATTTAATATGTAAATTCAGTAGCATAGTTGGATACAAAGTCACAAACACTCAAAAATCAATAGCCTTCTTTGTACACAAATAACAAACACAGGGAAACAATACTTCTGACAATAGCATCCAAAAAATGAAATACTTAGGAATCAACCTATCAAAGGATGTAAAAAACCTTTACATTGAATACTATAGTAGTCTGAAAAAGGAGACTGAAGAGGACATAAGAAAATGGGAAGACATTCCTTGTTTTTGGTTAGGAAGAACCAATATAGTGAAAATGGCCATACTTCCAAAACTGTTATACAGATTTAATGCAATTCTAACTAGAATTCCAATAGTGTATCTCACAGAATTAGAGAAAACAATACTAAAATTTATCTGGAACCAGAGGAGACTTAGAATAGCAAAGGCAATTCTGGGCAACAAAGGCAAGGCAGGGGGCATCACAATCTCTGACTAAAAATTATACTGTAAAGCTACTGTGATTAGAAACAGCATGGCAGGGCCAGGGATATAGCTGAGCAGTAATAAGCGCACCAGCTGTTCAGTTCCCAGTAACAAAAGAAAAGAAAAGAAAAGAAAAGAAAAGAAAAGAAAAGAAAAGAAAAGAAAAACAAAACACAGTGTGGTACTGGGGGGAAGGGGGAACAGCATCAAAGATCAAGGGAACAGATTAGAAGATGCAGAAATAACTTCAGACAGGGGCCAGGATTTAGCTCAGAGGCACAGCGCCTGCCTGGCAAGTGCAAGGTCATGAGTTTGATCCCCAGTACCAAATACTAAATTAAATTAAATTAAATTAAATTAAATTAAATTAAAGAAAAAAGAAAGAACTCCAGACATTCTAAGCCATCTTATCTTGGACAAAGGTGCCAAACACATTCACTGAAGAAAAACAGCTTCTTTAATAAAAGCTGCTGGAGAAACTGGCTCTGTTCTGGACCCATATCTCTCACCATATACTAACCTAAATTTGAAATGGAGCAAATATTCCCATATTAAAATAGAAACATTAAATCTGTTGGAAGACAGAATAGGTAAAACTCTTGAAGACACTGGTGTAAGCAAAGACTTCATAAATAAAACCCCGATCGCACAGGAACTATCAAAAACAATCAACAACTGGGATCTCACACTACTGCAAAGCTTTTGCACAGCAAGAGAAACCACCAACAAAGTGAAAAGACAACCCACAATGTTGGAAAAAATGTTTGCCAGCTATTCCTCAGGATTACTACAGAGAACATAAAACTCAAAAAAAAAAAAAAAAAAAAAAAAAAAATCAGTCCTCCTAGATTTAAAGACCCAGTCCAAAAATGGCATCTGAGATGAATACACACTTCTCAGATAAAGAAATATAAACATATGAAAAAATGTTTAACATCCCTGGTCATTTGAGAGATGCAAATTAAAACAACACTGAGATTCCATCTCACCCAGAAAGAATGGCTATTATCAAAAATATCAACCAATAACAACTGCTGGACGGGCTGGGGGAAAAAGGAACCCCTCTCCCTTGTTGGTGGAAGTACAGACTGGTGCAACCACTGTGGAAATCAGTGTGGAGATTCCTCAAGAAACTAGCATTAGGAGTTCGGTTTGACCCAGCCATTTCCTTTTGAGTATCATCCCAGAAGAATTAAAAGCATTGCACCTCAGCAATGTATGTGCACCCATGTTTACAGCAGCACAATTTGTAATTGTGAGATGTTAGAAACAACTCAAATGCCTATCAACAATATATGTGCACCCATGTTTACAGCAGCACAATTTGTAATTGTGAGATGTTAGAAACAACTCAAATGCCTATCAACTGAGGAATGGATAAAAAAGATGCTGTCTTTTTCCTACAATGGAATACTACTAAGCCATAAAGAAGAATAAACTGGAGATTTTAAATGGATGAATTTGAAGACTATACTCATATGTGAAATAAACTAGATGAACATGTGTAGACATCATATTGTCTCCCTAGTGTGAGAAGCCAAGAGTAAATAAGATACAGATTGTACAACAGATACTATAAAATGAGATGAAGCTTCAAAAGGGAAGAGAAACCAGGATGGGGGAATGGAGAAAAGAAGGAAGAGTGAAGTGGAAAAAATAAAAACTAAAAAACTACACATACACACACAATAGTTAAGATAATTACACCACTAATTTCTCTTAGTTCTGCTAATATTGTTTGGACAATTAAATGCCAAAATCCTGCACTCCGACTAACTTAAAGACAGTGATACACAATATATTAATCACTGTCACCCTCTTATTGTCTTGAAGGGTTTTTTTTTCCCCCTCCTTAAAATAAAATCACAGGGGCCAGGGATTTAGCTCAGTGGCATAAGTGCCTGCCTGCATGCATGAGGTTGCGAGTTCAATTCCTAGTACCAATAAAATAAAATAACAATAACAATAAAGGTAACAAATGGAGGAAAGACAATTTGGGAAGCAAGCAAAATAGTGAACTTTTTGCACTATGAAAGATGTCAAAAATAAAGCATACAAAGTATAAACAGTCAAAAATACAAAAAAAACACACACACACCTTAACACCTTCAGAGAATTCTGTACTACAGAAGTGAACACAGTCTCTTACCACCATGGCCGTATCTCTAGTTTCCTCCAGTCCTTCCTCCAGATCACTCAAAGGCTCAAGGTCCACATCTTTTTCTTTTTCTTTTTCTATTATTTCTTTTGCTTTTTTCCTTCTGTTTTTACTGCTCCCATATACACCAATGTCAGTCCGAGGGCTCAGCACCTAAAAATAAAAACAAAATATGAACTTTGATTTTCAAAAGAATCTTATAAGTGAAAATGGTAAAAGGAAACATTCCCCATATCACAGGCATTTCTTTTAATTTTACTTTAAAGAAAAAAAGTTTTTAAATTTCAAAACAACAGGAAAGTAACAATAATTAATACATTGTTTATCATTATCTTTAAATTAGTTACTCAGGGCCAAGGATTTAGCTCAGTGACTTAAGTGCCTACTTGGCAAGCAGGAGGTTGTTAAGTTTGATCCCTGGTACCAAAATAAATAAATAAATAACTCAGAGTACAAGATTTCAGCATTTAATTGTACAAACAATATTAGCACAAACTTTCCTTTAAATGAATTAAGAGAAATTAGTAATATAACTATCCAAACTATTTTGTGTGTGTGTGTGTATATATATATATATATATATTTTTTTTTTGTTTTGTTTTTCCCTTTCTTTTTTCCTTTACCCCACCCCAGTTTCTCTTTCCTTTTAAACAATTTCTTCCTATTTCACAATATCTATTGTATATGTGGATTTTACTTTTTCAGCTTGTCACATTAGGGAGACAATATGAATGATGTTTATGTGAATCTGATTTATTTCTCTTATGAGTATGGTCTTAAGTTGTATCATTTACCTACAGAAGTCTCCAGCATATTATTGTTTATTGCTGAGTAGTACTCCATTATATTTTTAAAAACACATCTTTTTATCTACTCCTCAGCTGATAGGCATTCAGATTGTTTCCAAGATGTAGCTACTACAAATTGTGCTGCTATAAACATGGACATGGGTGCACATGTATCACTGTGGTACAATGTTTTTAATTCTCCCAGGCATTTCTTAAAGAACTATACACATATTATCTAATTTAATACTTTCAACAACCCTATGCAGTAGGTATCTATTTTCCACATTTTACAAAGGAAACATATCAGAAAAGGAACAACTTGCCCAGTGCCATGGTTTATGCCTGTGTCCCCCAGGCCTCATGAGTTTGTATTGTGTACTTGTGATTGGTTCATTGTCTAGTGCTTGGATTGATACTGTCAGTGCTCTACCCACATAGGGGTGAGCCAGGATGTGATGTGGAGCCAGGAAGAAGGTGTGTCTTGCTCTTTTTGCTGGTTCCGGTTTGCTATTTGCAGCTGCCATGAACTGTAGCCCAGCCATGCCCGCCTGTCTTGGAACCAACTGTGTGGGGACCGAAACCTCCAAAAACTGTAAGAAATACACCTTTCCTTTCCAAACTTTGGGCTTCAGGTATTTGGTCTCAGCGACGAGTAAAAAGTAACTAAGACACCCAGGAACACAGGGTTAGTAATTAAGGAACAAAACACGATAAATAAACTATTTTACTTCAAGGCCTATGCTCTTAACTACCATGTTCAACTGCTCAATACAAAAAGGACATCTGAGTATTTAAACTTTCTGTCAGTGACAGAATCTAATAATAATAGAGTTGAGATGCAGCTACCTGCTTTTTCTGGACAAATAACAAAATTACCCGGAAATGGGTTTGTGTAAGGTCTCAAGGTTTCAGGTGAACATCTGATACTACTTAATAGGAATCACTTGTTATGATGACAAGATTAAACAGAAAATAACCTTTACCAGTACTATATCATCTGCAGGTTAACAGTCTATCAAATGCTGATGAGACAGCTGTACATGGTGGCTCACACCTATAATTCCAGCACTCAGGAGATTAACGTAGGAAGATTATTGTGAGTTCCAGACCAGCCTGGGCTACAAAGTGAACTCAAGGCCAGCCTGAATTGCACACAACGAGACCCTGTCTCAAAAAGACAAAATTTAAAGAAAGATAAAAAGACAAATGCTGGTGAGAATTTAGGATATGTGTAATAAACTACACTCCACCTGTAACAACGTATGGCTGGAGTTCTTCTTCAGAAAGGTCCGCCCTGTGCGTTCTCTCCAGGCCCGTGCTGCTGCCACCTGTGACTCCACCTGTGGCAGTGCATCAAGTCGCACAGGGATAGGGCGCCCTTTAGCAGACAAGCTTTCAAGCTGCTCCAAGTAAGCATAATTGCTGCCACTCTGAAAAACAAAAGTAGATCCTCACACAATTTGAGTTCCTTATGGAGCGTGACAATATACTGTTGGAAGAACTTACAAGTTTAGGGTTAACTTTTGTGTTTAAAAGAAACTATCTGTGGGGCCAGGAATACAGCTCAATGGCACAGCAGCTGCCTGGCAAGTACAACATCATGAGTTCAATTCCAGTACAAAAAAACTGCTGTGAATTCCTAATATTTCCATTACACCTATACCTCAACTTCTGCATGGATTTACAATAACCAGAACAAAGTTCATCCAAAGGCCAGTACATCTATCCAAGGAAGATCAAAATCTCACCAAATATTCAATCTTATACCTACTACCAAAAAATCTAACTTCCGTTGAGGGCTCTGGGTCACCTCCATCTTTAACCCATACCATTGTCCACTGAGCACTTCCTAATTTTCTAAGTTCCTTATCTTTCATTTAAAGGGCAGAGGGAGAGACAGAGACAGAGACAGAGACAGAGAGAGAGAGAAGCGCTAAGAGGTGAAAGAAAATGAGAATTCTTACATATATAGTATACTGTAGCTGCTATTAACAGCCTTTTATAATTCCAACATATCTTCACAGATCAAGCCAAGAATAACATATTTACTACTATAAAGCAGTTTTACTGTTTTGAACGTTTTTGTTTTTGAAACAGGTTCTCACTATGAAGTGCAGGCTGGTCTTGAACTGATAGCAATCCTCCTGTCTCAGTCGCCCATGTGTTGGGATTACAAGGATGCACTATCATGCCTGGCACTGCTTGGAATTACATATGTATAATATGTATCTCCAACTAGAAAAATATGCTATTTTGAAGACCAGCATCCTATCTTTCTCAATACTTCTCTCAAACAGCTGCTCCCAAACCAGGAGTGCTGTAGTATTCAGTTAAGACTCATTCAGTTGTATTTTTCTGCCTCTTATTTACTATTAATGTACACAGAAAAAGAAACTTATAAGGTAATAAACTCTCTGCTGGTAAGGGCTGAACAGCTAATTCCATCACCTTTGATAACAAAAACTAATAATGTCAAAATAATCTTTATTCTAAATTATGAGATGGAAGAATAAGTGAACTTTAACTGTTACTATTTTACTATGATTGTTCAATTGTGAAGAACTGAAGGCTTAAAAGATTCATCTAAGGTACTACCTGACAAGAAGGTTAATACAAAAGTCTCCTTACCTGAATAGCTTCCACTTTTGCTGTCCACTCTCGAGCCTTTTGTAAGGCTTCTTTGAGGGACAACACATTGGGTAGAAAAGCTGGAATGTTTTTGGCTTCATTGACAATGCTTTCTAAACTTGCCACACTGTGCCGAGGTCTAAAAGAACAACAGGGTCAGATGCATGAGCGTAAGAAAGTTCAACCACTACCAACATTTAAATAGCATTTTATAATATGCAAAGATTTTCATATATATTCAATTGTTTTAAATTCATTTAATTCTTACCACAATTCTATTAAGGAGGCAAAGTAGCTATCATTTTTGAAAACTAACTCAAAGAAGGTTAAGATTTTTTCCCCCAAGTTCTTCAGTAAACAAAGGACACAGTTCTTCAGTAAATAAAGGAAGTATGAAATGAGTTTCGGCTCCAAGACCCTTTGCCTACCCAGCACTGTAATGCCTCTACTCCAACTCTCCACAATACCTGAAATGGTCTGAGATGTGTACGTCATAGCAATGAGAGAAGCAAAAGACCAAGAATCTCTTAATACTGATCATGCATATTTAGCTAAACTTCATTAATATCTAGTTATACAAAGATGAATAAAATATAAACCTTATTCTCATCTAATCAAAATATAAGATAAGGATTACTTATGTGGGAACAAATTATCATGGGTTTACAACCCATGAAGAGTAACAATTAATTGTGCTTTCAAAGCTAAGAACAACTCTGACCCAGGCCTTAAAGAAGTATGATTTTGCCAATGGAAAGATTAAAGAAACCAGTGAACAAAGGTATACACAAATATAAAAATAAGTTGGTACAGTTCAGCTTAAGGTGGGGTACATGGTGTGGGGTACACGGGGGGCAGGAGGAGAAGATAAGTGAATCTGATAGAAAAGACACAACAGATTAGTTTCAAGAAACATGAATTTTACTATGTAAAACAACAGGAAGCAACAAAGAGTGAGTTTCATCATCTATTGTTCTACCATGTGCTGGCACTAATCTAAGTCCCCGAGATGGCCAAAGAGCAAGAATGACAAGCCTCGGCCTCATGAAACATTTTAATCTTGTGGGAGAGATTATTAATGAGGAATTAGAGGGACTCTGATTAAGTGGGGTGATAAAGGAAAGTAAAAGTACTTCAAAATATATAGGAAGACCAAATTAATTTGACAGGTTAAAGAAGGCATCCCAGAAATGACATCTAAACCTTTCCATCTTTTCTAAACAGGAGTTAGTCAGAGAAGATGGCACCAGAGGCAGGACAGGGAATGCTGGAAGTGCACTAAGGGCATGGTGGGGAACAGGTAGGCGTGCTTCACCGGAGATCAAAATACATGTGTTCGAAGGTCCTGAGAAAGAATGTGGTATGTGGGAGGGTCTTAACTTTTTGCTTGCTGGAACAAAATATTCAACATCCACAGATTAAAGGAGGAAAAGTTTACTTTAGCTCACAGTTTGTAGAAGCTGTGGTCCAGTCAGCTGGCTCCAACGCAGGGTGGCATAGCCAAGGAAAAACAGCTCATGATATGGCAGACGAGAAGCAATCTGCTTGCTTTCCTTCTGTCCCTTTTCTTTCATTCAGGCTACAAGCATATTGGCAGGTACCTCCCATACCCAGCATGAGCCTTTCTATTATCCATACTCAAAACTATGCTAAACCAATCAGTGGGCCAATTTAGTTATCACATATCCTTATTCCATATTCACACAAAAGATTCAGCCAGCTCCGAAAAACCCCACCTATTAACAACAAGGGTGTGGGGAAACATCTACATACTAATCATAATGATGAGGAACCAGAGTGGGGGTAAACTTCTAAGTTTGGAAAATAGAATATACAAGAAAGAATTATAAAACATGGGGCAAAATCATATAATTAAGAAAGGACGGGCTGGGGATTTAGCTCAGTGACCTAAGTGCCTGCCTGGCAAGTATGAGGTTGTGAGTTCAATCCCCAGTACCACGGCAAAAAAATAAATAAATAAAATAATAAGAAGAAGAAAGAAAAAGAAAAGAGCTAGATGACAAATGGTCTTATAAATTAGGCTGAGAAATTGGGACTTCATTCTCAGGGAACAAACAAAACTAGTGAAGGGTACTATGCAAGGGAATGAAACAGTGATGCCTATATTTTAGGACAACAGTAGTATCACTGTAAAGAACAAGTTAGAGAAGGGCAAGACCATGGAGAGAGCCTGCTATGACACAGATCAGCTATGACAGCAGTCTAAGGAGACTGAAATAATATTCTTCCAAACAGTCCAAGCAAAAAGACTCTTAAAAACAGCATACAGAATTTCTTCAAAGTACTGATACAAAATATCAACCTAGAAGTAGGGCATGGTGCCATCTGCCTATAATCCCGGCACTTGGGAAGCAGAGGCAGAAGGATCACCGCGAGTTCAAGGCAAGCCCGAGCTACACAGTGAGCCCAGGCTAGCCTGAGTTACACAGTGAGACTCTGACTCAAACAAAAACTATCAACCTAGAATTCTATGCATAACAAAGCTCTTATTGAAGAATTAAGGTAAAAATAATCTGGGAATGGCAGTACATGCCTATAACCCTAGCACTCAGGAGGCAGAGGCACCATCAGGAAGATAGCACCATCTAGATCCACCAGCAAGTTCCAGGCCAGCATGAACTACGTGGCAAGACCTCTACCTTAGGAAAAAAGAAAAGGAAGCAAGGGAGAGGGCAGGCAGGGAGGGAGGCAGGCCAGCCCATTTACAATCAGAATTTTTTAAAAATCTGAAACTCAAAGAAGTAATGCAATCAACATGACTAAGTCTGAGGGAAGAAAACAGAAATAAATGGTCAAAGTTAACTGCTGAAGTAGTTTTGTGTGCCTACTTATGAAATATGGTATTCATCAGATAAAGAAATGAAGCAGGTATGGGAAAGAGGTAACAAGGTTTAGAGAATTTGGGCCATCTGTGAGGACACTGACTGGAATTATCTAATAGGCAAAGGGTATCTATGAAAGAAATCTAAAGGATCTAGGAGTTGCTCAGTATGAAGATGGTACATGAAGACAAGAAATTAGACAAAATTTCCAGAAAGATTGTACAGTGTGAAAAACGGCTCTAGGCCAGCATCTTGAGGAAGAAACTGAAAGGAAGAGAAAAGGTCCAGAGCAAAGGGAACAGCTATCAAGAAATTAGTGACAAGGCCTACACTCAACGCTAAGAAATCAAGAATATTAAGGATGTATTTTAAAAAGATAATTCTGATCACATCCCCCTCTCTTTCTTCACCAGTCTTATTTTCTTCATGACACTAATTACCTGAAATGCATACATTTATTCTCATTCTCTTCACTAGAATGTTAGCTCTGTGAGATGAAGGACCTGATGTATTGTCACCACCGTCTCCACCATACCTAATATGTAGTAGCTACTTACTATACCGCAAAGAACCAGGTAAAACACAAAAGGGCTGTAAAAACAGAGTTGAAAGACAGACTAGACAGTCATATTTGGGGGCAAAGTCATCAGAACTTGGTGACTGATTCAATGTAGATTTGGAAAAGTTTTCAAAGATTACTATCAACTTCATTTGCTAGATGATGATAAGGTGCATCAGGTATTCCAATCATACTTTCACATTCAAAAGTCACTTAGCTCTTGCACTTAATACTCCCGCTTCCAAAAACTTTCACAAATCTGAAGATGTAGCATAATTTGCTTATTTCAGATTACATAATATTGCTATTAAAAATTTTAGTATATACTCTACTTATATCTGATGAATAAAATATTTAGTACTCATGGAAACTTCTTAATGAGGCAGAGCTGTGTTAATTAAATCACCTAACACACTTCCTACCAAATGTCTCCAAAGTAAGTGGCTTGCAAAGTAATTGAGCACATAAAGACCTCAGCAGGAAGTAGAAGAGGTTTTAAATTTTATTTGTGCCTCTTTCTAAATACGCATCCCAGCTAGTCTCCTCATCTGTACCTCACAAGAGAAAATATTATAAAAATATTAATCTTTGCTAGTAAAGAAATACTTTCACAAAAAATCATAGTTAATTACTAGCCAAATTAATTAACATACAGTCAAATATGATGAATACTACTTAAATCCCATCAAGTTCAATGGAGTGCCAATGCTAATTCAATTGCTTGATTCTTCTCTTCTTTCCTGAAAAAATTTTCCACTCCAAAAAGATTTATCTTATCATATGGATACATCCTATGTACTCGTCAAATCTGCTTTATAAAATTTGTTACCCCTCTTCCTTTTTTAACCTACTCATTCAACACTCTCTCAAAATTCTTGTATTTCTTTCAAAGCTTCTCAACTGACCATCCAAATCCACCATGTCCCCTCCAAAAATTGCTATAACTCCTCCTCTTAGTAAACATTAATAGCATACAGGTGACATTTATAACTTTGTTCTAACTATTGTTAATCATTAGTTATGGACAGGGTGTGCATATCTGAAACTGTTACATGTAGCCTCATTATATGACCGGTCAAGAAGTAACAAAACATTTAATTAAACATTTAATGAAACAGGCCCTTATGTTCTTCCTCCCCACTGTGCCTTCTGACTTGGTTATTAAAGAAGCAACAGCCACCAAAACATGTGTTCACCTTGCCTGTAGGCAGACCTTAGCCTTTTCTTCCCATCGTTCAGAGACTGTAAGGAGCTCCTGTAGCTCAGCCATTGCTTTCTCCACAGCATGGTGGGGTGCCAGCCCTACCCCAGAGTCAATCAGCTTTTTCATGACATCCAAAGTGACTTGTTGTGGGTCTGAGAGGGTCAGTCTAACTTCATCCAACCACCGAGCCTGCTGTAGCTCTTGCTTCAGTCGAGGTAATTCAGGTAGCTCCACATACAGACTAGAACCCATATCTATCAACATCTGCAGTTTGGAAGAATCCGGGGTTTCATCCATCATTGCCTCCTGAGCTCGTTCATGAAACTCTTCCACATCATCAAGCAGATTCTGAAAGGGACAAAATAAAAAGCAAATGCTTGGGGTGTGCCTCAGCAGTACAATGCCCTAGGTTCAATTGTCTGCAGCATAAAAAAAAAAAAAAAAAAGGGTGGTGGGACAAATTTAAAGGATACAAAATGAGTATGGAAAAGGCATACTTTAGGCAGACTATCAAATTTTAGAGCATCTTTAGTACTCATGGAATACTCATTTGGATGCAATTTTGCCACCCTAACACCAAATATTCAAACATAACAGTTAAACTCATAAGTGATTCTCCATAATTTTAGCTACACTATACTTTCAAAATACAACCAATTTATTCAGTAAGTATTTAATGTCTGCTAATTTAGATGTAGGTACTGTTGTAGGTACAGAGTATTTTTTTTGAGACATAGTCTCACTTTGTAGTTCAGACTGATCTCAAACTCATGCCAACCCTCCTGGCTCAGCCTCCCAAGTGCTGGGATTACTGGCATGTGCCACCACGCCTAGAGGCATACAATACTGAACAAATTAAAGTCCTGTCTTCCAGGATTGAACACCACATTTAAAAAAAAAAACTACAATAAAACATACATTGCCATTAATTCTCAATATACTCCACTTCAAACACACATGTCATAATTCTTACTACTTCCTGAAGCAGTTTTGGAAGTCCTCTTTCATGAGTGTATCTAGTTACACTGTTGCAGTTGCCTCTATGCGCTGAATCAATTCAAAACATTTACTTTCTATGGCCATTCTGACTTTGGGAAGAGCCAGAAATTGTACAATACCAGATTTGATGAGTAAGGCAGACGTGAACACACTGTAATGCTCTTAGGAGCTTGCTTTCCTGTTGGATGATAACTGACAGCAGCAGTCACTTGTTTTTGATCACATTACATAATAATAAGAAAGAGAACTTCTAGAACTACTTTAGAAAATGGCAAGAACAATAGCATAAGTGTGTTTGAGGCCAGGGAGGGTGGTACTTTGAGGGCGATAATTGCAATTTGTCTTTTATTGTAGTAAATTTTAAATATTCATCATACATTTTACTCACCCCTTGTTTACTGTAATAAAGGTGGCCAGACAATAAATATATGAATAAGTTCAGTTTAATGTTACATGCTCTGAAAACAACATAGGACCACAGAGAATGGCCAGAGGGCATATAATTTAGCAATGATAGTCACAGAATATCATAAACCAAAACTAAAATGAAGGCAATGTGGGAATGGGAATTGTATGAAGATCTGATGGAAACATAGTTCAAGCAGTACCAAAAAAAACTACAAAAGCTTTTAAAAGCAATGTGCTTGGGCCAGGGATTTAGCTCTGCAGCATAAGCACCTACTTGGCAAGCGTGAGGTCAGGAGTTCAATCCCCAGTACCCAAAAAAAGGAATGTGGTTGATGTGTTGCTACAAGTGCATGAGGGAAAGTCAAGCATGATGGCACAAGGCTATAATCCCAGAATTTGGGAGGCTGAGGCAAAAAGATCACTTTGGGTTTGAGGCCAGTCCTGAGCTACAGAGTGAGACTTTGCCTTGAAAAAAAATAAAAATAAAAATAAAAACAATTAAGTAGTAAGAGAAAAATGTAGTAAAAGAATAAGAAGAGATTATATTACACCATGTCTTATAGATAATAGCAAGTTTCGACTTCATTTTAATGGCTTTGGAGAAGCACTGAAGGATTTTTACCATAGGGGAATGAAGACCATAGCTCCATGTGAAGATCCTAGGCACAATTCCCAGTACCAAAACCACAAGAAAAAAAACAAAAAAAAGTGTAAAGAAATTCGGAGTCTGCTACAGTGACCCAAAGCAGATTCTAGTAGAACTGAACCTATTTAAAAATGAACATGAAGATAAACGGTTCATTCTTGGGTATATTTTGGCAGTAATTGCAACACTTGTTGTCAAGGGGTATAAGAGAAATAAAGGCATCAAAGATTTGGATACAATGAACTCCTTAAAAGGCTTTGAAGATGCCTTTCAAGTTGAGCTGTGGTGCTCACCTAGATCTAAGCATTCTGGGAGGCCAAAGAAGAAGGATCACAAGTTCAAGCCAAACCTAGGCAACTCAGTGATTTAACATGACCCTGTCTCAAAATAAAAAATAAGGAAGGATGAAGAATGTAGCTCAGTATAACAGCCCTGGTCCTATCCCAGTACTGCCAAGACATAAAAATAAAAAACAATTCTTTTAGTCTGCTAAAAGAAGTATAGAGTATACATCTAACTATACAAGGAGCAATGGGGATGGATGCCAAAAAGAACTAAAAAAAGGCAAGTGGAGTGCCACAGATGTTCAGTGAAGAAAGTCACTGAAGAAAGAGAACTGTCCAGCACCAAAATGTTCTTATAAAATGCAGTTAGAAAAGATCACCACAGATACTAGATTTTGCAAGTTGATAATTTTGATGAAAAAAAATTTTAGATACCCTAGTCACCCTTCAAAATATAGCAATTATCGAAAGATTACTAATCATGTAGATGAAAATTCTTTTTTTTGCTTTTTAAAAAAAATCTATCTAAAAAATAATGAGCAATTTATAGACCTTTCTCTAAATCAGAACCTCAAGTATATATATCTATATAAAGGTACTGTGTGTATATATAGCATTTACAACCAGGACTTCCAGCATGCTTTTGCTTAGCATTCCAAGGCGACATTGCTAATCAGTATATAATCAGTACAGTGACAGGTTGCTTAGAGAAGATCCACATCAGACAACATATGACATCAAAGTCACGTCACAGATAACAATAAAAATAGGATTTGTATCACTAATTGTGGACTATTGGGAAAATAAGTCATTTCTGTTACTAAATTTATTAGCATTTATTCAAGCCTCCTAATTTTGCTCTATGGGTAAATAAGTCCTGGATGATAGACCAACATTCCTAATATATACTTTAGAGATTCTAGTTACTCATTAAACAATAAGGTCCTGGTAAATTCACAGCTCTGCCTGAGCAACTTAGTGAGACTGTGTTCCAAAATAAAAAAGGGCTGAAGACATAGCTCAGTATGAAGAATCTGGGAACAATCCCTAGTAGGGGATTAAAAAAAAAAAAGAAAGAAAGAAAAGGCTCATGTATTAGTTGCTCATTGTTACATTCAGGTTCTTTTAACTAATTTATTGCATTCAACTACATGTATACTAATTGGAGCTTTGACCTAACCAAAAAAAAAAAAAATAATTCCTAATAGCCTTCATCTACAACTGTAAAAGGAATAAAAGCTAAGAACAAAAGTAAGATACTATCTACTAAAGAACTGTAAGTAAAAGCATATATGTGAGAAAATAAACAGAAGAGAAAAACTAGTCTAGATATATCATCCTATTAATCCAAAACAATAGCCCAAAGCACAAAGGCTGTAACTCAAGAGAAGAATGTGATACTCCACCTTTACTTGTCGAGCTTGGCTGATAACACATGGAAGACTAAAAAGTTGTTGAACAAAGGCCTTCAATTCTTCTACTGTCAGCTTGGTCCGAGTTTTCCCACTATCTGGGCTCTGCCTGATGTGAAATAATATTGAAACACAGTGAAAAAATTCAGTCATTCTGATATAAAATAGGGTTCCTACCTACTCTCTTCTGAATTTAAACCTAAGCAATCCTAAAATTCTAATGTTTAAGGGATTCCACTGCAATGATAATCACTTAAAAAATGCTCAAAGATTCAACTCCAAGTTACAATTGCTCAAATTTACAAGTGCTACAATACTGCAAGTTAAATTCCCCAAAATGAGATACTAAATTAACTAAATTAAATCCTGTAACTTTTTGTTTTTTGGTCTTCTTTGGTTTTCTCAAGACACTTACTATGTAGCCCACAATGGTCTCAAACTCCTGATCCTCGTGCCTCAGTGTGCCAAGTAAAGGGTCTATAGACTTGTTCCATCACTCCAGACTTAAATCCCGTTATTTTAAGAGGCATACAATCTGAAACACTGGCCTTTAGCTTGCCTTCAATTAATGAACTTGTTGAAACTTTTAAAATAGTGCGAGTATATGCATTTTTCTAAAAAGGACCTTAACTTTTACCAGATTCTCCAAGAAGCTCAATGACCCAACTATAAGTTAAGAATTACTAGTCAATGTCTCTAAGAAAGGTTCTCTGGTAAATGGTAGGTTATAAAAATTCACAAAATAATTTAAAACAACATGAACAGCCATAGAAGAAAAGCCATTCAGATATAGGGAATGTGTTAGAATGACTATGAAAAATGCCAAAGGAAATTTAATATACATGCATTACATTAGGTCAAGGGCATACAATTCAACACTCCTTTAATAGCTTCCTGGCATTATCAAAGTTACTCTTTGCTGCTTCTTGCTTTCAGTGTATAGTACCATTTATTTACTTGAAATATTTATTATTACTAGCCAGGAATTGTTTTAAGTAGAAAAAATACAGCAATGAAAAGCAGGACAAAATCCCTGACATTCAGGCCAGGGATGTAGCGCAACAGCATAAGTGCCTGCCTGGCAAGTGCAAGGTCCTGAATTCAGTTCTCAGTACAAAATGTCTCTGGCATTCTAATTTAGTGTACATTGTCATGGAGGTAAGGAAGATAGGAGGTGACAATAAATCAGTCAGTCAGTATAACAGAAAGTGAGAGCTAGAAGAAATACAAAACAGGAAAAAGGGTAAAATGCTTACAATTTTATAAAAGGTTGTCTGAAAAAGTTTTTCAAGAAAGTGATACTTAAAAGACTTCAAAAAGGTAATAGGTCATCTGGATAGAATGGCAAGACAAATGCAAAAAGAATAAAAGGCAAGTGTGAATGCCCTGGGGAGGAGTAACCTGGCACAGTCATATGAAGAACAGGAAAAGGGAGTTACAGAGTAGAACAAGAAAGGAGGGAGAATTCTTTGAGAAAAGAAAATGTGAAACTAGAAATATGACTCTCCTTAAAAAGTGAATCAGAAAAAAAAAGAATCAGTTCTAATAAAGGTAGATCACAAAGCAAACAAAGCAAACCATTTCAACAGAAAATACTTTATTCAGAGCCTGTTATTAAATATTTTGATCTGTTCTATGAAGGAAGCTGAATCTGACATCTAATTAATGAAAATAAGAGATCTGGTTAGCTACTATAAACTAAGGTGGGCAAAACTATTTTCCTCCCTAAAATAGATGAACCTTAAGAAAATAATGTGAAGTGAAATAAATCAGACATTCAAACTTAAATAGTGTGGTTTTTCTTATACGAGAAATCCAAAGTATAAAGGGCAAATAAAAACTAGAGCTGGGCATGGTGGCACAGGCCTATAATCCTAGCACTCAGGTGGCCGAGGCAGGAGGACTATTGCAAGTTTAAGGCCAGCCTGAACTACACAGTGAGACCTTGTCTTAAAAAAAAAAAAACAAGGATGGTAATTGGAAACAAAGGGAGAGAGATCTTATGCAATAGGTGGAGGAACGGGGGAAGGATGGGCGAACACAGAAAGTAAACAGAATTAAGATGGGCTGGTGATATAGCCCAGTGGCACAAGCCTGGCAAGTGTGAGGTTCCAAGTTCAATTCCTGGTTTAAAAAAAAATGTAAAGCAAAAAGAATTAAGATGTGTATCTACATGTACCAACTTCTCACAATGAAGGTAATCATTATGTACTACAATAGTGAACTAATAAATTAAAAAATAAAAATTATTTTCCTACTTAAAGCTAAATCTTTGTCTCATAGACCCCATATAAACTTTGGTATAATTTCTAGCATTGAACATAGCAGATGTTTGCAGTCTTTTATTTATTTATATATATATAATTTTGGTACTGGGAATCGAACTCAAGACCTTGCACTTGCCCAGCAGACACTGTGTTGCTGAGCTATATCCTAGCCCACTAAATTAGTTTAAAGAGTTTCTCATAATTTCTGAACCACCACCACAGGAAGGAAGGAGAATTGTATTAGTAGGAGACAAAATAGGGACATTACTAGGAAAGGGAGAAACTCAGCCAAAGAAATCAAAAATAATATACAATCTCACTGGCTAGTTAAAACTCTGCCTTTAAATCTGAAAAAGGAAATGAATGGGGAATTACACTCTTCTTAGATTTACCTGTGTTTCTGCTTTTTACTCAAAAGCAGCTGGGCCACAGAAGCACAAGTCTCAGCTTCTTTTACAGCATCCTTGAGTTTTCGAAAGAGATCATTTTCTGGATATTTCCTATCCTCAGCATCTTCCAGCATTACTCGCAATTCAATCAAATCTGTAAAAATAAACAAAAAGCCATGTACTATGACTGTGATCATCTGGACAAAAAGCCATCCTAAAATTTCTTCACCAGTCTCAACCTACTAGCACAAACATACTGTGGCTGTAAACCGCCCCCCCCCAATGTACAGTTTCTGACCAGCGGTCCATTCCCAATGCCAAAACTTGATTTCTCTCAGATAAGGCCATTCTTCTTTTAAAAACCTTCAGTGCTAGTCCACTGGTAGCAATGGCTCCCTAAAATATGCACCTCTTGCAAGTTATCTGTCCCACTTTATGTCAGATTTTTCACTGAAAATATTCTCAAAGAGAAAATTAAACCTATGTTCAACCAACATGTTATGCTTTATATCTAGATGTCCCCTTATAGCCTTACAGCTCATAATTAATGGGGGTGGTTGGATTATGGGACTGTGAGATTGCTGCATTTATAGTTAAATGTGATGTTGGGAGGTGAAGCCTGTCAGAAGAGGTGGTCATGAGGGCGTGGCCCAGAAATCTCTGATTCCTAACTGCCATGTCTCCTCTGTCTGGCCACCTTGCTTTGAAGCCAGCTGACTATGGAATGAAACTTCTACCAACTGTGAGCCAAAATAAACTTTTCCTCCTTAGAGTCGTGGATGTCAGGTGCTGTGTCTTAGTGATAAGAAAAGTAACACACAACCCATTAGTCTCAAATCTCATGAGACCTAAGGTTTTTTCTTAATAGAGGAAAAGACATAAAATCAATAAACAAGGCCTTTTTTGACAGTAGGGGAGATTGAACCCAGAGAAGCATGCATACTAGGTAAGTGCCCTAGCCCTGAGCTACATTCCTTGCCCCTGTTTTTTGGTACAGGGAAAGGGGTCTTGCTAAATTTCCAAGGCTGCCTTTGAACTTACAATCTTCCTGCCTCAGCCTCCCTCCTCAGTTGCTAGAATTATAGGCATAAACAACTATACCCAACTAGGACTCTTAAATTGACAATAATTTCAGCATATACATACAAAACAGGAAACTTAACCTTTCTTGTGGTTGAAGTTAGCAGATAATGCTTCTGTAACACGACTGACCCAAGTGTCATAGGATTGTGCCCTGACTTTTACACCATAAAGAAGAGAAGGGAGGTCTTCTAATGGGTAGCGATATCTACAAAAAACACAGAAATAAAAAAACTTCAAATTCCCACAATGACTTAAAAAAATTAAGTTTTAAGTACAATGGTGAGGGGAATGGCATCTTGGGTTTACATTAAGAGAAAATCAAAGAAGCCTACAATTTTAATTCAGAGAGAGAAAAAGAACATCTGGAATTAACTGATAAAAACACTAACTTTATCTACCATGCTAGGGGCCAACATTAAAGGACTGGTTCTCAAGCATGAAAGCAGATAAAAAAAGACATTCCAGTTCAGGGACAGAGAAGGTAAAACTACACCATAAACATATGATATTTTAAAAATGTAATGGAAGTGTCAATGGATACCTAAGACATTTCTTCTGCATGGGGCAGGGGCACAGATCAGTTGGATGATAGAGACATACAAGCCGCTCAGGATTACAGGAACATGTGAGAGCCGAGAGGAAACATGTGGTTCTACATGCTGAACACTGTCGTTCATCATCAGGAACAAGTTCAAACACTTCTTCTTCTGACATCAGGACACCCTGAAACACAATTTACACTCCCAGATCAAATCTTTCAGGTTTCTAAAGTATCAAAAACCCTTACTTGTATTTTTCTAAGGTTTATCTCTGATTTTAAGGCATAAATACAAAAATCACAATGGTATGACATAAGGAAAAATTTAATCATGACTAAATCTTTAAAAATGAGCAAGCCCAAACTCTGGCATTAAAGATATACACTTAAGTGAAACAATTATAAATAAATGCAAAGAAGTAATTACTTCAAAAGTCAAGATAATTTTTGGGGGGAGGAATTTTAATGAGGCCCCCTGGAGGCAGCTGACAAACTTCAATTTCTTGATCTGAATGGTAATGACAAGGTTTATCATAGAATTTATAAATCACTCCGTGTGCTTTACATGGTTTCCTTTGCCTTCTCTTTAAAACAATAAAGCACAGCAAAACCAGAACTACACCTTCCTGAGAGCCAGCCAGTGCAAAACCAGAAGAGCATATGCCCCCTCCCCCACCAACTAGCTGACTGAGAAGACTCAGGGTGAGATGCCAGCAACTGAGGTGAAAGGGACAGCTTGATGCTTAAATCGCCTCACAGACTCTGCAGGCCTGGGGCTGCTGGTCTGGGCATCTATTTGGAGGATGGAGTGTACACTGTGGCTAGTGTGGGGGAGGGTTCCTTCTGTCTTGTTTTTAAAATCCAATGTTTTGTTTTATTTTACTGTTTTTGTTTTATTTCTGTATCTGGTAACCTACGCAACTATTTTGAAGATAACAATATGTAGTATAATAACCACTGTTAAATTCCTATCATCTTGTTTTGAAAACCTATATACCTATTGTTTTGTTGCTTTGCTTTTGTTGTTTTTTAGGTTTCTTTGCTTCTTGTTTTTTCTTTTTTCTCTCCAAAATTAATTTTTAAAAAATTTTAAAACAATAAACAAAATTTAGGGGCTGGGGATTTAGCTCAGCGGCATAAGCGCCTGCCTTGTAAGCGGGCAGTCGTAAGTTCGATCCTCGGTACTGATAAAAAGGAAAAAGACAAAAAAATAAACAAAAATTTATAGGGCTGGGAATATAACTCAGCAGTACAAGCACCTGCCTGACAAGTACAAGGTCCCAAGTTAAATTCTCTATATCAGAAAAATAAATAAATGCATATATACATAAAATAAATAAAATGAAAAAATTTTAAATTAATGTCCCTAGGGAGTACACACACACACACACACACACACACACACACACACACACCCTTGAACAAGATAAATCAGTAAAGTATCAAACATACACAAAGACAAGTATACCTAAGCTACCTAGTATCTAAATAAAAATACTTCAGCCAAAAGTCAATAAAAGATTAATCAAACTTAGATGCCAGCTTAGGAAAGAGTACTGAAACACTTTTTAAGAAGACTTTCAAGCTACCCATGTAGAACTCCCTCCTGTCACTCAAAAGCTATTCTTATTCCCCATTTCCCTACTCCTATTTCCTATTCCTTTTCTCCAATGAATTTTTTTGCTCTTAAAAAAAAGAAAAACTTTCACTCACTGTACAAAAGTTCCCTTTATATTTTCTGTTTAGTTGAGCAAGGAAAATGCAAACCAAATTTTTCTAAAAAGAGCAAACTTTTTCACCTAAACAAAGCAGAGGTCTGATTATTCATTCAGTAAAAGAAACACAATCCAGTTCATTCTTTGTACTTTTTTTTAATCAATTTAATCTAAATGCTTGCTAGCTATACTCTTTACATTTCCTCATATTAGCATGTTATTTTCTTTAAAAATTATTTTCATGCAAAAATGTCCCAAAATGAATGTTTCTTAATTTACAAGAATGTTCATGAGTTTGGAACAGCTGGAAAATACAGGACACTGATGTGGCAACTGACAATTCTGATTTCCAAAAAATACTGTTTTGTAAAGTGTTCACATTCCAAGGACCACTAATGCTAAGACACTCTGAAAAATAAATTTCTATTTTGGAAAATTCTACAGATTAGTTCCCTCTAATGTTAGAGATTAACAATGAGCGCCAGCATATTTTAAGGGATTAGAGAAATTATGCAACAAAGAGCCCTATTTATCCTTTCCTAACCCACTGTTTCCCCTAAGTTTCTAACCACAAGACAATTTTTTTCTTGCAACACATTCTAAATTATTCTAAAGCTCACATCTCACAGAGATTACACTGTGGAAAAACCATAAATTATCAGGAGGGAGTCAGGAAAAGAAAAGAACCAAAGAAACAAATTAAAAGGCCATTCAAAGTAACTCAGATGAAAAATTAGGAAAATAACTTATAAAAGGATAGTGGAAGAAAGGATGGCACACATTTTAACATGGTAAAGTGGATATGACAAAAATCAATAGTATAAAAATGTGGAAACAGTTTACAAACAAGCAACTGAACATAGTGTCTCATTTAGTGACAATACTCCCCATGTTTTTAATTTAACAAGAGGGAGCACTAAATAAGAATCAAAACTACACTAATGTGTTAGCACAAGCTCGTAATCCCAACACTCAGGGAGGCTGAGAAATTCTCAAGTTTAAGACCAGCCTGGGCAATTTACCAACCTAAAATTAAAAAATAAAAAAGGCTGCCTAAAATTAAAAAATAAAAAAGGCTGACAATGTATCTCAATGTGAAGGCTCTGGATTATATCCTCATACTGAAGGGGGGGGGGGACAAACTACAATTTAATAGCTCACAGTTTAAATTCTAAGAATAGATGAGAATTGCTTTTAAAAAAACAGCATAAAAGGAGACAACAAAAAAATCAAAGGCTGACTCCTAAAAATACTAGCAACTGAGAAGAAGAAAAAGTTAGCTGGAAGTGATGGGCTAAAATGATCAAACAGAATGGACCAAAAGTAAACCAAATGTTAATGGAAGAAACAAAGAAAGCAATACACACTGCCATAAGGAGGTCATTGGGCATGGAAGAAGGGGGAAAAAAATCCACCAGACTTGGCAATAAAGTTGTCAGCAGTAAATCTGAGAAGTTTCAAAAGTATGATGGGATCAGAAACGTGGTAATGAAGGGATGAACAGAAAGTCAGAACAATACAAAAGAAAACAACTTTAAAATTTAGGAAAATTATCTAGTAAGTTTTTTTTAAAGAAAAGGCAATTGAAAACTTTTCACAAAATAGGAAAGACAGGGCCAGGGAAAAGCTGAGCAGAGTAATTGCTTGCCTGGCAAGCTCAAGTTCCTGAGTTCGAGTCCCAGTAACAAAACAAACAAAGGAAATAGAAGAATAAATATCTGGAACAAGACACAGGAAAGATAATTTAAAAGTAAAGACCTATAGCAAAATGTGTCAAGATATCATAAAACATGGTATAAGACAAAATACATGTTCAAATTATCAGAAAAATTAATAATAATGTTCTAACAGTTGGGCCTGATGGCACAGGGTTAAAATCCCAGAATTTGGGAGGCTCAGGCAAGGGGATCATGAGTTTAAATTCAGCCTGAGCTATAGCAAGACCCAGTCTCAAACAAAAGAAAAAAAAAAAGCATTATTAAAAACTGACTGAATCTGGGCCATGTTGGAACTTAGGACTCTGGGAAGCCAAGCCAGCACCTCCCCTCCCTGGTAAGCCGAGGCAGGGTGGCAGACTGCAGCCCTTCCAGGGGGAGAACTAGCAGTGTCTCCTGAAATCCACGCCATGCTGGAACTGAGGACACTGTGAAAACAAATGACCATTCTGCCTCCCTGCTTAGCAATAGTGAACCTACTACTACATGGGCTAGAGTCAAATATCCCACTTCCCCTATCCTCCTTCTCCTCCTCCTCCCTGCCCATTAACAAGGGAGAACCAGAAATCTGAGCATCTCCTGGGAGATTGACCATAGCAAATAAGTGGGACTTCCTTCTACCATTTCTTTGAAAGCAAATATTTTTATTACTGTTTTGCTCTTTTCTGACTAATGATACTTCTCTATTCAATATTCTGTTTTGATAAGTTCTATAGTGTTCTATATTTCATCTCATTTTGATATACGGGATTGAAAGAACAACTATTATAAAGATAACAAAATATACTGTGATACCATTACTGTCATCCCAGTAACCTGCTGTGAAGTTCTGTACCAATTTCACTGTATGATCTTAGTTGGCTTTATTCTGACTTGTTCTGTTGTATACTTTCAAAATAAAAATTAAAAAAAAAAAAACTGACTGAATCTGAAATAAGAAAATATATCAAAAATAAACTTACTACGCCGGATGTGGTGGCTCACACCTATAATCCCAGCACTCCGGAGGCTGAGGTGGGAGGATCGTTGCAAGTTTGAGACCAGTCTGGGCTACAAAGTTAGCTCAAGGCCAGCCTGAACTGCATGATGAGAACCCATCTCAAAAAAGACAAAAATAAAATAAAATAAAAATAAACTTACTATATGAGTCTCTATTAACATATTTTAAATTTCGTAAGGACCAAAATGTATAATAGATGCCAGGGATTTAGCTCAGCAGCATAAGCGACTGTCTTGCAAGCTCAAGGTTGTGAGTTTGATCCCTGATATCCAAAAAAAATGTGTAATACATATTGGGAAGTGGGAAGAAAATGTTCAAATGAGAAGAGTAACAAAGGAGAGGAGAGAAGAAAAGGAAAGAAGGAACAAAGAAAAAAGAACAGAAGGAAAAATAGAAATTAAAACTTTTGTAAATAAGAATGGAAAGAAGGATTGAAGAGAATACAGGGGAATAGGAAAAAAAGAAAAGACGACATATCATGTACAGGTACAAATTCCCTATGATGAATGTTATCACTGTGTCTATCTAAAAATGTACCAATAAAGTAAAAATAGAAGAAAAAGCCAAACCAAGAAATTAATGTATTTAAATTTCAAAATTCAAGGTACTCCTCATGAGGAAAAAAATCCCATTTTAAATAAATATATACTGAAAGCAGAATTTTAAGAACACAAATATGAAACACAAACATTTTAAAAGGATTACTAATTATCAAGCCATATATATTTAAGGATCCCTAGAAAGTAAAATAAATTCTTCAAAAATCCACTTGTATCTTTTGTTTTTCTTATTTCTACCAGAGGTAATTCAACAAATAGAAAAAAGAAATCTGACCATTTATAAAACAATCAGCTTTACATATTTTATAATATTTCTAACATGTATAGCTTTACATTTTGATTCATAGGTTTTTCTATTTGTGTCTATTAAAAAAAGTAATGAAACAGTTTTACCCTCAGATCTGAACCACTGTTATCACTGTAATGGTTTTTCTTAGCCTAAATTAACATTTGTTCTGTTAAGACCCTTACAACTTAATATGTACATCTACCAATTAAACTCAATTTATTGAAGTAAATTATTTACAAATACACACAAGTTCCTTAATTTTATGATGGCACAAATTTTTTTATTTGAAAATGTTACTTTCAAGAGAACTCTAATTTTAGTCAGGGAAAAACAGATTCCTATTACATCCTACCTTTTAGAATTATGTCAAAAATAAGATGTCTTCACAAACTACCAACTATTCTAGGCTATTAAACACATATTCTCCTAAAACATACTTTCAAAAATCTAGAGATGCTATCAAGTTGCCTAAAGTTTTTCAATCTAAGAAACCAAAAATAGCAATTAAAAATCTAAAACCTCCTTCAAATCAGTGATTTTCATGTCAACTTTGAAAATGATCAAAGGTGAAAAAAAAATAGTTTCTCCAAAGACTTAATTTCTTCTGCATCAAATAAGCTATATAAACATAGGAAATCTGCTCATCAAACTCACCATTTGTACAACAGACTCCCTTAGTCGTGTTTCTTCTTCAGTCATAAGAGTCAACTCTTTGCACACCATAGCAGCCAGTCCCACGTCTAAGCACTCTGGGTCTGCTGCCATCTTGAAAATGAGTTCCTCGTGTGAAAAGACACAATGGCGCCTTAGGCGTCTATAATGATTTACACACTGACGTCCAATGGGCAACTGAAAATAAATTTCCAAATTAAATTACTTGCTTATAATGTATTCTAGAACAGAACCTCCATTCATCCTCCAGAGCCTCCCTTTTCTCATAAAGAAGGCAGAATAATAAACACATGAATATAAGAAGCAATTATAAATATTAACCCTCCTAGCTAGAATTTTAAAGGCCCTAGAAAATTCTCATGATCTAAGATGCTGGACTACTCCTGACCTAAACAGCTGGTTTTCTACTCATTATGTGTATCAAGAAACTGAGGCTCCCTGATGTATGACAAAGCGGCAAACTCTTTTTGAGACCAATCAACATGAGATTTCCCTTAAGGGAAAGTATTGTAAAAATTAAAATTTTAAAAGTTCTCTCCACAAAAGCATAAACAAAATTACTCAAGACTTGCCAGGGATTTAGCTCAGTGTTGTAAGTGCCTGCCTGGCAAGCATGAGATCTTGAGTTTGATCCCCGGTACCAAAAAAAAAGGAAAGAAAAAAATTATTCAAGGCTCAAGAGGCCACAAAACAAAAAGAACAGATGTTATTTGAAAGGAGAAAAAAAGAAGAAAAGGTGCTATTTAAATATACTGGCTGATTTTTTTTTTTTTGCAAGAACCAAATTTTTCAAAGTAATCATAGTCCCAGAAAGAGGATTCAAACAAGTAAAACCACAAAATTGTATACTCTGCTTCCCCTAACAGTGCAACAAATGACTAAATACAATAATCTTTTTTTTCTTTTGAGATAGGTTCTCACTATATAATCCAGGCTGTCCTCAAACTTGCAATGATCCTCCTGCCTCAGCCTCCTAAGTACCGGGATTGGAGCTGTCTATCACCACACCCAGTCCACAATAATCAATTTTTATCAATCAATAACTTTTCATAAATATAGGACTAGGAATGTACAGCTCAGTGGTACAGCAGAACTTCGCCATGCATGAGGTCCTGCATTAGAGGAACAGCACTGAGGGCAGGTAGGGGGACTCAGCTATAACTACACACACACACACACACACACACACACACACTCTCTCTCTCTCTCTCTCTCTCTCTCTCTCTCTCTCTCTCTCTCCAACTTGAACTTCTTTCCTATGCTTAAATGGAAAAACTACAGTAACTCAAAGTTCATTGCTTGGATTAGGAAACTATAAAAGAAAATGAACCATTAAGAAGCTTTTAAAATTAACCTCCATTCTGATAATGGCAAAAAAGAATCAGAGGTATCAGAAAATATAAGCCTCTCTCATAATTAAGGAGTGTTTCCATACTCTTCAAATAAATTATCACTTTCAACAATGTATTCAAATTTAGTACTAGCAACCATCTTTTCTATTAATAACATACAATGCTTTTATACCTTAATTCTTAAATATTTACTCTTCAAATATTTTTCTCACAGTTATCAGGGAACTTAAAGGAAAAATCAATCATATGGTTTTCAATTTTTACTTATTACAAGTGTAAAAGGAGGCCACATCAAATGCAGCTGATTACACAACATGGCTTATCAAAGCCCATTCTTCTTTCTCTTTTTTCTCTCTTTTGAGGTATGGTTCCACTATGTTGTCCAGGCTGGCCTTCAATGTACTATGTAGCCCAGCTGACCTCAAATGGCTGTCAATCCTCCTGCCTCAGCCTCCTAAATGTTGGGATTACAGGTATACACCACTATGTCCAACTTGCTCTAACTGTTCATTTATAGAACCATAATATATAACTTAAATTATTCAGTAAATCTATTAGCATCTTCAAATACTAGGGAAAAAAACAATTTAGGCTCAGTGAAATTAAGAGCTAACTCAGACTAAACATCAAAAAACAGCACATTAAAAGTAGCTATCATGGGCTGGAGAAATAGCTCAGTGGCACAAGCACCTGCCTGGCAAGTGCAAGGTCCTGAGTTCGATTCCTGGTACAAAACAGACACACACAAAAAAGTAGCTATCATCTCTTAATTCTTATCTGAACTGTCCTGTTTCCTACTCTACACCAAGTCAATCACCATGTAAATCATACACTGTATAAACATTAGCTGAATCAAGCACCCAAGGGAAATCCTAAACTTAGGCTTGCCCACACTAAACTATGCTGCTTCCAAATCCTAAAAAGGATGAATTTTAAAATTACAGGATTAGCTAGACATGATGGCACACGCAATGTCAGCACTTGGAAAGACTTGCCACAAGTTGTAGGGCAGCCTTTGCTACATAGTGAGTTCAAGGCCAGCCTGAACTATACCTATATAGCAAGACCCTGTCTAGAAAAAAATTTTTAAAATTTTAAAAATAAAATTACCGGATTAAAATAAGACTACTCACTACTCAAAACACTAACAAAGTTATGTATGCCTGTACTCCCCAGTATTCCAGAGGCTGAAGCATGAAAATCACCTACAGTGCTAGGGATGGAGCTCAGCAGCACAGTGCCTCCCTGGCAAGAACAAGGTTTGATTCCCATTATCAAAAAAAAAAAAAAAAAATTCTGAGTCCCCTCCCCACTGGTGTTCAAAGGCAGAATGGGCAACACAGCAAGAGCTCACTTCAAAAACATATTTATTCATCATGAAAATGCATTCATTGGCAAAGGAAAGAAACATTCTATCATTAATCATGGAATTTAATAAATTAAGGTACCCAAGGAAAAGATCCAATATTATGAAAACATTTCCCCCAAAATGTTAAGAGGCAATGAAAACATTAATAAAAGAAAATTGAACAGCACATTATAAATGTGTAGTTTTCCCTAACCAACATGATCTGATTGTAACTAATTACATTTTTATATCTACCTCACATAAAAGTAAAATAGCAATGAGTAGCATTATCATTTACACATTTTAAGATCTAAAAGTACTCACAGAAAGAAAAGACTAGAAGAACCATACTCCTCAGAAAATAATTAGCTGCCTATTTAAAATTCAAACAGAATGGGAAAATGAATACATGAGAACAAGAGAACTATAAAACTTTCTAAATAAGCAATGTGATGGAAACACTACTTAATTTTCTTTTTCTTTTTCTTTCCTTTTGTCTTTTTTGTTTTTATTGGTACCAGGGATCGAACTCAGGACTACCTGCTTGCAAGGCAGGCGCTTATGCCGCTGAGCTAAATCCCCAGCCCCTTAATTTTCTAAATTATAACAGCCTCATCAGTCTCCACTGAAATACCCATGCCCCTATTCAGAACCCAGCTAAAAATATGACACCTAAACTTTATTTTATAGTGGTGTTAGTACACGTACAACAGCCACTTGCTATAGAACAGACCCAGTCAGCAGTACAGAAGTTCACAGCTTCAGCAAAGTTGTAGCCCTGGTTAAATCCAGAATGATAGGCACGAGGAAATGTCACAACAAACTCGCCTGCACACTGATTGGTCCTGTACACCTAAATGAAAATTGAGAACAAGGATATTAAAAAAAAAAAAAAAAAAAAAGCAAGACATGCTATCAGTCAGATAGTTGTGGAAGCATTTTCTAAAACTGAAAACAATACATAAATTTATACATGCCAAAAACAGTGTCAGGGATTTAAAAAGTAGCCAGAATTCTTCCTTCTTAAAACAATCACTGATACAAATAATTCATGACAAAATGAGCAGCAAAAAATTTCCAAAAGGAAAATGTGACTCAATAACTTAAAATATTAATAATTAAGGAAATTTTTTATTCCTGGGTTGCAAATAGTGTGAAAAAAATGAAATTTCTCACTATCGCCACATAATTTTTTTGGTAGTGAATTAGCTCATACAGTGTATGAGGAAGACCCAAAATCAGTTTTCCAAAATGTTACTTTGTTTTATGCTAATACTATGACTTTTAAAAAGTCAAATCTATGTCATGTGGTTCTAACTGTGAATTTGTTAATGTGTGGCTCTCAGAAACACTGTCCTATGGGATCCTAAGTGTGTAAGGCTTAAGAAATACTGAAATACACCCAGATTTTAGGAAAAAAAATTTTTAAATGTCATTAAGTTGTAGTATAAATACACTCTTCTTTTTTCTTAGTACTGGGGATTGAACACAGAGCCTGTACACGGAGGTACATTCTCCCTTGTTTTGAGAAAGTCCCACCCCTCTTTTTTGAGCAAGGAAGACCTCACTAAGGTCTTCCAGACTGGGCATGAATTTGCCCAGTCTGGAAGTCTGCTTCAGCCTCTCAAATGTGCTAATATTACAGGCATACAATACTGTACCTGACTAGTTCACTCTTCAGAGACAAAGCAATACTATAAATGTTACTCAATCTACTTTCTCATTTGAAGTTTAGTAAGTATTTGACTATATGTAGCAAACATATTAAATTTACACTTTATGAGGTTAGTAGTTTAAACTAGTTAGTAGTTTAGACCCATCTTAAAAGCTAATTTGAAAGGAGGAAAAGTATTCATAGTGTATTTTTAGTTCATTATCATGTATTAAAGGCTGTGACATCTTTATATAAAAAAGGATAAGAATTTTTAGAGTTACCACTTAAAATACCTATTTTTTTAAACAAAGGCAGTAAGAAACATGAGGTTTTTGTTCAAAATAGGATATAATGGTTTACAGAAAACAGAAGGCTATTTGAACAAGTAACTATACAAAAGGTATGATTCATACCTTCAAACATACCTCTTAATCAAAAGATAACAAAACTTTTCACTTCCAGTTACAACTACTTAAGAGCTAAAATTATTTTTAAAATACTGAAAGAATCCCAGCACTCAAAGGGTGAGGGAAGAAGATTGTAGTGAGTTTGAGGCCAGCCTGAGCCACACAAGACACAGTCTCAAAAAAACAAAACAAAAACAATAAAACAACTAAAAAGAGACATAAAGACTCACAGGCACACCATGCTCCATTAGCACATTGGGGTTCATGATGGTGACTAATTGATGCAGCAGATCAGGCTGGGACTCAAATAACTCAGGGGCCAGCTCCCTCATCACCTCCTCCAGTTGTTCTGCAGCATGAGATGGCACACCATACCATGTCTTTGGCTCTCCCCTAGCAAAAGAAGTAACTGTTGAGCTAGGTAGAGTGTGGTACCAGTGAGATCACAGTCTCCAACTCACACCTACTAGGTTATCGTTAACGCATATTATTTTCTAACTCAAACCCATTAATTGTAATCATTGTGTCTTATTCCATGGCTACAGAATTTTGTCAATCATTTTATAAATCTGTGCTATTGTGTTTTTTTTCCCTTTTTTTTTTTATCGGTACCGAGGATCGAACTGCTTGTAAGGCAGGCGCTTATGCCGCTGAGCTAAATCCCCAGCCCCATGTGCTATTGTTCTTAATAGGAGGTAGCGCAAGAGTATATGGATAGGTAATTATCACTTCTATTACAAAACAATTCAAAGCATATAAGCTCTTCAAAGAGATTGGTAATTATATGTTTCAAGAAGACACTATATATGAAAAATAAACACTGATCCAAAAAGTACTGACATACTATCTTGATCTACAGGTTCACTGGACATTCCAGTTATTTCCACAATATCAAAGTAAAAACTCAATGATCTCTATAATATCTGTAACTTCAATGAGTTCAATGTACTATCCAAGGAAATTAGCTACTCACACATACTTTAAAAGGGTAGGTATCCTTAGATGTTCCCCTTTTCTCTGTAACATATTATCCTGCTTTTAGGTAGAAAACACTTTTGAAGACAGTTCTCCCTAATATTATGACATCTTTAAAAAAGACTAGAGCTGGAGATGAAATTTTGTGGTAGAGCATGTGCTTAGCATGCATAAGTCCCTGAATTCAACCCTCAGCACTAAAATAAACAAACAGTTCAGTAACTCTGTATGCCGTACTGATCAAGGATACATACCAATACAATACATACATACCAATGCAAGTAGTTAATGGAGTAACTCCAGTGATCTTCAATGTGCCAGCAAAAAGAAGAGAAACACATTCCCACATAGAGCCATGGCACCTTCATACCAGAAATATCTACATTAATGTGTGCAAGAACAGACTGCTCCAGGACAGGCATGTTATTCAAATTCCAACCAGAAAGTGCATACTCCTATTTAAAAAAAAAAAAAGGTTAAAAAGATCAGAAATGACAAACAGTCAACAGAAATCTCAAGAAAAGTCTCTCAACTGACAGAATGTTTTTTGTTACCTAATACATATATATAATTCATCTAAGTAGAAATTTAATCCTCAGTCCTAATTTCTTTTCAGATTGCCCCTTATTTCAGATACTTTTGATTTACTTTTGTTTTTTGCTTTCTCTGATTTACTTTGATACACACAGCAAATCTTATTACTCCCTTGCCTTCCAATAAAACAGGGTGCGACCCATTTTAACAGGTCATATCACATTTCTATTTTATCCCCAGTGGTATAACTTCCCAAAATATTGATTACTATATTTATAGAGTGGTGCTTCACACTGTGAGGGTAAAACACAAGAAAACACCTAATCTTGAACTTGTGACAATACTGAAAGTTAATAGGATACAGAATGTCACCACCACCACCCTTCATTACAAAAATACCTAGAAATATTGGGTAAATAAAATACTATTTCACAACTAAACTTGAAAGAAAAAGGAATTCCTAGTTTTCAGAAACAGAAATTGGAAAGCCAAAATAAAAAAGAAAATTTTCACAGGGGTTTCTAACTAAATTTAGAAACTGAAGAATAAGCTTCAAACACACATCTCTGAAGCAATATGAGGTTCAGACTTTAAATGCTTCTCATCTTAAACAGTATACTTCTCAAACTCAGGAATCAAACTCAGGATCCTGCGCTTGAAACGCAGGTGCTGTGCCATTGAGCTACATCCCCAGCCCCTGAAGGTTTATTATTGTATTTGCTTTTATACATTTAGAATTTTCTATAATAAAAGATAAAAATTCTCAAGGTTAAACAGCCAATGGCAGAGCTAAAGAGAGAAATCAGTAAACTAGTAGATTTGAGAAAATCATCTATAATGCAACAAAAAGGTGTGGACACTATGAAAGTAAAGAGACATAAAAGACAAAATAAGAGAACCTAATGTTCATTTAACTAGGAATTCCAAAAGAGAAATAAAAAAGAGCCAGGCATGGTGGTGTACACCTGTTATCTCAACACTTGGGAGGCTGACACTAGACCTATTACACTTTAAAATTCCTTGGGCTACACAGTGAGTTCAAGGTCAGCTTGAATTGTATAGCAAGAATTTGTCTCAAAAAAGCCAATTAAAAAAAAAATTAAAGAAAGGTGATTTTCTATAAAAAAGCTTTAAAAAGCTAGGAACGTAGCTCAGTGGTAGAGTGCTTGCCTAGCATGCACAAAGTCCTGGGTTCAATCTCAGTACCACTGAAGAAAAAGAAAAACCTAAAAAGCCTGGAAGTTTTCAAAATATAATCTATCTATTACAGATAATACCATGTGTACCTCCTCTTCTGGCAACATCTTTTTCCGACCATCCTTCACAGGAAATCCACTTCCAAAGTCTTTGGAGGAGATATCAGCTCCATACTCTACAATAACATCTTCTTCAATGCTGCTAACCAGCCGCCAGAATTCTTTTTCTACTAGTTCTGTGGGAACCATCTACATAGAGAAATAGATGACAGATTAATAACCCACCAAAACTATAATCTATTGTAACATAATACATAGGCCAAGTAAACACAAACTCAAAAAAAAACTCATTTCATTCAGCAGAAATGATTGACACCCTTGCTTTTTTCACTAAGAATGGGGGAAAGCTAAAGGTACCCTGGATATTTAGGAAAAACATAATGAATGTGAACTGCTTCATTCTGAAAGCTGCTATTTCCCAACTATAAAGGACTAAGATGAACCAGGACATCAAGAAGGACCAAGGAATTGAAAATAACTAGGCCAAATTTTTAGTAGCTTTAGCCAATTTTTTTAGCACTACACTACTAGGAATTTACAAAGCCCATATCACCTAGGGAAAATAAAGCAAACCATATTATTACAATTAATGAAACAAAAGCAATAGTAGTCAAATATTTCATGCTTCTCTGTAAAGGAATAGTCACAGAAGAACAATAAAACAATTCAAGCATCGAAATAGATTTCTCTATAGGAGAACACAAACTCCACTTACAGGAATGAAAGAAACAAACAGGTGTGCTGGTATATGCCTGTAATCCTAGCACTCAAGAAACTGAGGCAGGAAGATGGCTGAGAGTTCTAGGCCAGCCTGGGCTGTATAGTGAGTTCACGACTCATGTGAACTACATGGTAAAACCCTGTCCCAGGGAGTGAATCAATGAAACAGTATGTAAGACCTTTAAGATTCAGTATTGCCTCATTCCGTCCCTCTTTTCTACAAAGTATGAAAAATTAAAAAGCAAATCAAAAGCTTTAGACTTAAAAAATGTCTTTGTACCTCTCTAAAATGGCTTAAAAGACTTTACTCACATGCACTGGCATATTGAAATAATCAGACTTAAAATTATCTGCCATCTCTCCAAAGCTCTGAAGTGTATACTCTCGTACGGCTTGTTCAAATCCAAAGGCTTCTCGAGGTTTGTTACATTCCTAGAAAGAAAAAACAACTAAGATTAACTCAATAAAACTATAATTCAAAAAGCACTAAAGATCTAAGTATACTGATGCTTTCCTGTAATTCCAGCACTCTGGGAGCCAGAGGGAGGATCTCTGGTTCAAAATTACAGTTCTTGCCTGGCAAATGCAAGGTCCTGAGTTCAATTTCCTATACCCAAAAAAAAAAAAAAAAAAAAAAAAAAAAAAAGTGCACAATTTAGCAATATCCTGCCTCAAAATGGGGAAAAGGGAAGGAAGGAGAGGAAGGAAAAGGGAGGAGAGGAGAAGGGAGCATAAGAAGAGGGGAAGAAAAGGAAAAGGGAGGGAGGGGGAAAAAGGAAGGAGGAAGAAAGGAGAAAAAAAGAGAGGAAGGAATGAGGATGGATAGAGCAAAGAGAAAAGGGGAGGCAGGAAACAGAAAGGTGGGGAAGGAAAGTGAAGGATGGGAAGGAGAGAAGAGGAACAGGAAAAAGACAGAATAAGGGGAGAGTGTGGGCCAGGGATTTAGCTCAGCAACATAAGCGCCACCCTGGCAAGTATGAGGTCGCGAGTTCATAAATAAATAAATAAATAAGTGTCTAGAATAAGGGGAGTGAAGAGAGTGTAGAGGAAGAAGAGGGGAAAGGAGAAGGGGAGAGGAGAGGTAGAAAAGGGAAGAACCAAAGCTCTTAGGTACTATTTTGATTATTTCCTTGGGTAAAAAACAAATTTAATCAACCCTAACATAACAAAACAAGTATTATAGTAGTTACTTGCAAAATGGTATAAGGAAACAATATTCTAGAACCTCAACTCTGATTTTCAGTCTTCCAACAGGAAGGTAATAATGAGATGGTTTTAAGACTCTGGTGTTAGCATTATGCTCTGTCAAATAGACAACAGCTGGAGGTCTACAACATGGAATCAAGTCCCAAGATGTCTTTCATTTTAGCACCCAGTAGATCTGATCACAGAGAAAATAATATTCATGGAGGGGGGAAAATAATATTCATGGAGGGGAAACACAGCTTGTGGATATTAGGATACCCACTGCATTGCTAAGATTTCTGGCTAGGAAAATGTTTGGTTCACACTGATATGGTAATTACCATATCATGATCAATGTCTTAACACAAGCATTCATTAGTGCACAACTCTGAATCGTCTAACCTTGAGGACAATAATAAATAATTCCTAGACCGTAAAAGACCTCTGAATCTATCTAGATATACCCAGCCAACTTCCTCTCTCTGATATCCTATCATGCATTTTGTTAAAATAAGTAAACAGACCAGGCTTTTGTAACATCATTGTTTTTCAATAACAAAGGTTTAGTATAATCAAGTCAAAATGTGCACAAGGTAAAAGACATCATCAATTTATTTAACAGAATGAAAATTTGTATAAATCCCATGTTTTACAACTTCATGTCTGATTAGTTTCATTTTTAAAAAGATCTACAGCTTTTCATCATTTTTATTCCAGCCAAAACAAATACTCTTATAGAGTCTGGCCTGAAACCTCATTCAACTGAGGCAATAAAGAAATGCCTCATCCATAGGAGAAAAACAAACTTTGAAGGCAAGCTGTCATAGTATGGTTGTTACATTTCTATTCAAAACGGGTTTTTTTTAAAACCACGGAACATTTCAACTCTAAAGAACAAAAAGAAAGTACCACAAGCTTGGGGGAACCTATTTACATGTATGCATACTTCCTTTAGTTAGAAAAGGATCCATAAAGGTTTAGGCTTGTACCTCAGCAACACACTTAGGACACCTCCAGTCTCCCTTGGGAACATCAGGTAGCGGTGGAATGAGACAAAATGTATGATAGCTGTCATCACATCCATCACACAAAAGCAATTTATCTTCATTGTTTCCTCGACCACAAAACATACACACATAGAGATCAACCTGTTAAAATAAACAATGAAAGTCTAGTTTCTATAATAGAGAATATTAAATTACCAGAATCTCTTTAAAACAGACAAAATAATGTACACTAAAACATAACCCTGAATATCGACTTTAATACTTTAACATTTTTAATAAAACTTCCTAAATTTCTCTCCAGAGGTTTTACCAACAAATTAATAAAAGCATATCAAATTGTTAAAGAAATACTATAACATTTTTAATAAAACTTCCTAAATTTCTCTCCAGAGGTTTTACCAACAAATTAATAAAAGCATATCAAATTGTTAAAGAAATACTACAAATCTAGATGTAAAAGAATTTGTATTTTTCAAATGCTGTACTTTCTAGATGCAAACAATAAATACTGAGATACTGGTAAAGAATAAATACTGAGAACTGCCTATAATAATTTACAAATATCCATGAGCATCTTTCAGGATTGATTCAAAGATTCTTCCTACTCACACCCACACCAAGCCCTATAGATACCAAAATCCCCAGATGCTCAAGAAAGGATATACAATGGCATAATATTGAGTTATAATATATGCAAAGTCGCCAATATATTTTAAGGTATCTCTAGATTACTTCAAGTACCTAGTACAATATAAATACTAGTAAATAGTTGTACACTGTTGCTCAGGACAACAATAAAAGTCTGTACTTGTTCAATACAGACACAATTTTTAAAAACCTATTTCAATCTACACTTGGTTATTAAATCCACAGATGTACAACATGTAGATACAGAGGGCCAGCTGTATAGAGATTTACACTTACTAATCACCCATAAGGTAGATGACTTAGGGGAACATTTTATACACATGAAACAAAATAAGATTAACATTACAAAAACCAAAGCTGTAACTTTAGGATTGCCATCAAGTCTTCTAACCAAATAAGCCAATTAAATGACATACAAGAATATACCAAGATAAAAGTGCAAAACAAAATTAAAATAAATCCTTTCCCTCCTAATATATCCCAAAGCACTTACAAAGTTAACAGAGAGAGTTCCTTTCCGTTGTCTCATTTGCATGTTAAATGCGTCTGACCTGTTGGTAACTTTTCGTCTTCGGGTGACCTCATCTTGAAATAAAAAGTTATATAATAATAGTAAAAACTAATGTTGAGAGCTTACTATGGACCAGATACTATTTAAAATTATTTAAATTAGCTTTAAAAAATCCCACAACACTATAAAGTAGATATATTATTATCTGTGGTTGAAGATAACCTAAAGTATACAAAAGTTGGATAATTTGCTCTAAATTACAGAGCCAGTCAGTGGCAGATTTGGGATTCTAATTGAGGTAATTAAGCTTCAGACAGTTTAATCATTGACGCCATACTGTCTGTATGTAGTACTTATTACCTCCTGCCTGTATGTATGCTTTCCAGGTACTCTCAAATTAACCAGGGATTAATTTTTTATGATCACTGCCAGCCAAAAAATAATTTGTTTTCCTATCACTGCCAGCCAATTTGAAAATTTCAAGAATGACAAAGTACTTAATTCTTAAAAAGTCAATTAAAAACATCATAATGTATTCAATGACTCCTATTAAACAACATTCTGAGAGTGATGGAACAGTATTATCTGACCTTCTATAATTCAGCTTAAGATCTGAATTATGATTAAATTATCCATATAATGCATAATTAATATATGTAACTATAGCAACTTATTAAATTCTTATAGTATAATCAAAACATGCCGAACTTATTCTTTGTTAAAATGAGTGTTTTTATAGGGGTCTTTTGTTGTTGTGTTTTGTTGTTTTCCACTGGCACTAGGGATGGAACCCAGGGCCTCACACAGGCTAGGCAAGCATTCTATCACAGAGTAATATCCCACCCTAAAATGCCTTTTAAAATTGACCTAATGCATAGGGAGAATAAGACCTGATTTTCACATTAGCAATTCTCCCAAGATTTTCAAATACAAGCTGAGAACTAGGCTCACTGAAAAAAAGTAGAGTAGAACAATGCCAGCCAAGGTGGCATACTCCTTAATCCCATCACTAGGGAGGCTAAGGCAGCAGGATGGTTTTAAGTTCCAGGCCAGCCTCAGCTACTCACTAGTTCAGGACCAGCGTGAACTTCATAACAAGACCCTGTCTCAAAAATCAAAAAATAAATGGTATAACAACATATTGAGGGCAATTATTTTTTAAAAAAATATTGTGGTTAGAATTTAAATGTTCTAAGATCTTCCCAATATATTTTCATACTGAAAGTTGAAGAATCCTCTATTTACTTTTTACTTTAAAAGTTATAAAAAGCAAATTATAAGATGAAAACTAATAATTTCATCATTACTGGTAAAACTAAACTAGCCTTTAGAAACTGCCATCAATTTCTATGTTGTATATCAGACATGGAGAAGGAAAATTCTCTCTTCTAAATCATAAACATTGAATATTGCTCCTTACACTTTAAGATATCTGCCATCAAACAACCATGTATAAAATCCATTTTGTAAGTTTATAATTCTCAAGAAATCCCCAACACAGACTGAAACTGAAGTATCACTTAATCTTTTTACAACTACACTATTACATCACTTCATTTCTCTTCATGACCAATAACAGATTTTACCTTCTTTATCTTTTGTAGCTACTGTCAGGCCCACAACCTTGGGTCCAGCCCCAAAGATCTGAAGTTTCTTCAGTTCTGTGTTTTTGTGTATTTCTCCAGATTCTGACTAAAAGATAACAAACAAAATCCACATTAGAGGCTGGAAATTTAGCTCAGTAGCGTAAATGCCTGCCTGGCAAGTATGAGGTCATGAGTTTAATCTCTGGTACGAAAACCCTCTTTAGCAGAATTATCTTGATTCGTGATTAATTTTCTTTAAGAAATGAAGTCTTGGGGCTGGGGATTTAGCTCCGCGGCATAAGCGCCTGCCTTGCAAGCAGGCAGTTGTGAGTTCGATCCCTGGTACCGATAAAAACGAAAAACGAAAAAAGACCAAAAAAAAAAAAAAAAGAAATGAAGTCTTGCTATGCTGACCAGACTGGCCTCAAACACCTGGGCCTCAATAATCTTGCTGCCTCTGTTTCCTGAGTAGCTGGGAATAGAGACATATAATAACATACACAGATCATACATTATTTTATTACCCCCCAAAAGTTTCAAAATCCTCTTCCAAATGAAGGAAAAACTAGGATCGCAGTGTACAACTGTAATCTCAGCACAAGGGAGGGTAAGGCAAGAGGATTATTGTGAATTTGAGGCCAGTCTAGACTACACGTGATTTCAACAACAGCCTGAACTGCAAAGCAAGACCCTGTTTTTAAAAAAAGGCAGGCAAGAAAGAAGATTACTTCTCTCTAAATCTACTCACTGCCTCATTTATAAAACTTTAAAACAGTCACCAAAGCATCATGCAATACTCAGATTCCTTTCCACAAAATACTTATCTTGAAAGTGTAGTTGCCAATTTGGCTTTAGCTAGAGACACCACTGGTTATTAGGCAACAGCAATTTCCACTTCTGACTTGCTAATGGATACCTGTCTTTAATTAAGAGGGTAACACCTATCTTAAATCATGATTCATGACTGTCCTAAAATAATGATGCTGGTCTCATGTCTATTTCTAAGTGATAACTTAGCTAGGACTAGGAATGTGGCCTAATTTTAGCCAGTAACCCATAAAGTTTATTCGAAGACTTGGAGAAAATTTCTTAATCTAATAAAAAGGAAAGCTAAGTCCTTTTGTCCCAACTCCCTTCTTCCTGGTAGAAAATTCAGTGCTGGGGCTGGGGATTTAGCTCAGCAGCATAAGCACCTGCCTTGCAAGCAGGTGGTCATGAGTTCGATTCCCGGTACCGATAAAAAGAAAAGAAAAAAAAAAAAAAAAAAACTCAGTGCTGGACTGTGTAGCAGCCACAGTACAATTAGGAAAGAACTACCCTCATACTAAAAAAAGCAAGACAACTAGGCATGGTAGCCCGCACCTGTAATGGAGGACTGCAAGGCTGAGCCTAGTCTGGGCAATTTAGAAACTTAGTGAAACCCTGCCTCCAAATTCAAAACGTAAGTGTTGGGGATGCAGTTAGGGGTGAAGGTCCTAGGTTTGATCCCCAGTATCTCCCCAAAAAGGAGCAAAAAGATGAGAAAAGAGCCTGGGTCCTTCATACCAATATGAACATGCAAAAGCAATCCTAGACCTACCTTCCTCTAAAAAAATTTTGTTTTGAGACAAGGCCTCACTATGTAGCCCAGGCTGCTCTCAACATAGCAATCCTCCTGCCTGAACCTCCCAAGAGTTGAGATTTCAGGCATGTACCACCATACCCAGCTAAAATTCTTATGTTGAAAATGCGTTCTTGGCTGAGGATTTAGCTCAGTGATGTAAGTGCCTGCCTCACAAGCACGAGGTCATGAGTTTGATTCCCAGTACCAAAAAAAAAAAAGAAAGAAAATGTGTTCTTAAGTGGAGAATTTATCATTAATGGTTAAGCTACTGTCATCTGGCACCTAACAGGTATCAGTGTTAAATCTTGAATTCCGATGAATCATAATCTCTGAATGCAGACAAATTAAATAACTAAAATTTACTTTAATTGTACAAATAAGAATAAATGAGAATAAAAATAAAACAGAATAAAGATTATTTTATACATATATTATGGCCACATTAAAAAATCCACAAAATCCTAATTAAAAAACACAAAAACAAAACAAAATGGCATTCCAAAAATTTACTTCTAAATTCTTGTAGACTTGTTTATACTAAACTTCTATGTTAGTCAAATAATAAACATGTTACTATACATTCTTTACCACTATTTTAGCAGAGTACATAATAACAAAAGCAAAAACATGAAATATAAATCACTCAATTAGCCATTCTCCCAGGAGCCAGCAGGAGCCATGAGTCCAGAGAGAAAAAACAATAAGCCAATCACCTCTCCCATGAGCCAACCACTGCTACCCACCAACCCTCAGTAACCAGCTGACTTGAAGGAACTCGGGCTGAGGTGACAGCCACTGAGGTACAAAAACAACTTAAGCTGGCCAGAAATTTAGCTCATCAGCATAAGCACCTGCCTGGCAAGCACAAAGTCATGAGTTTAATCCCTGTACCAACAAAACAAAACAAAACAAAACAAACAAAACTGAATGCTTGTATAGTTTGATTGACTTTGCAGGCCTAGAGCTGGTAGTCTGAGCATCTAATGAGAGGATAACAATATGCAATATAGCAAATATGGGGGATTTCTTTCTGTCTTGTCTTTGAAATCCAATAATGTTCTATTCTGTTTTGTTACATTTTATTGTTTTGTTTTATTCCATGTTCTGTTTTGATTGGTTTTATTCTGTTCTATTTTGTATGATTTTATTATGTCTGATGGTATGGGCGTAATTTTGACGATAACAAGAGGCATTATGGTAGCCATTGTTGATTTTCTATTATCCTGTTTTCAAGTTCTGTATCACTTTCACTGTTTTGTTTTGATTAGCTCTATTCTGTCTTACTTGTTTGCTTTTATTCTCTTTAAAATAAAATCTTAAAAAATAAATCTGTCATATCTGAGTATTTTAATCAATTAAATCTTATAATCACTTTAGCAGATAGGAAATATTCTAAGAAGAAATAAACATTCTCTAATCTTAAGGGATTAAAACTAGAAATGAAATTAAAACCAAAAAAGGCTTTTTCACCTAGAAATTTTTAACTCTATTAACAGGTAACAACAATGAAAACGATCAGATCACTGAGACAAAGCAGTGAATATAGGGAGCTTTATAGACATAAGAAGATAAACAAAATAATAAGTTAGTTTTCAACTCAAAACACTAGGAAAAAAACTACAACAACTTTGTGGTCCTGGATTAGAAGTGAAATAATCTGTATAAACTTAAAGTAAGAAGTCAGAATTTTTTTTTTTTTTTTTATCGGTACCAGGAATCGAACTCACGACTGCCTGCTTGCAAGGCAGGCGCTTATGCCGCTGAGCTAAATCTCCAGCCCCAGAAGTCAGAATTGTTTTAAAAATTTATTTCCTAACCTTCACCATTTAAAAGACCTAGAAGCAATCATATCCTACTAGGAACAAACATACCTTGTGCTCAGGTCACGCTTTCTAAGTAGCATTTCCTGCTAAAAAGAACCAGGAATCTTAGAGAAAAACTTATTCCAGGTTTAATTAAGGGAAGGTAAGCATATTAGCTTTTTGGTGGCAGGAAATAAATATCCAACACTAACAGAAATATGCTAACTCCAGAACACATGAACTACCTGAAGTGACTCCCACTAATCAAATTTGTAACAATTAGATTAGAAAAGAAATAAAAGGCAGCAATGGATTACACAATGTTGCTGGGGTTTTTTTTGGTACCGGGGATGGAACTCATGACTGTGCGCTTGCAAGGCAGACACTTATGTTGCTGAGCTAAATCTCCATCTCCCAACATTGCATTTTTAAAAATCATGATCTACAATGATACTCAAAAAAGCAGTAGAGGAAGTCAATTACAATTTCATAAGAATATACATTCATCAAACTTCACACTTAGGATATGTGCACTTTAATCAGATACAGTGGTATGTGCCTATAAATACCAGCTACTCATGAACCTGAAGTAGGAGGATCACTTAAACTGAGAAATTTGGAGCTAACCTAGGCAGCTTAGAAAAACTCTATTAAAAGAGTTAGTGGGAGAGGAGGGATAGTTTACCCTTTAAAAAAGTGTGAGAAGCGAAAATTTCATTAGAAAAAAAAAAAAAACACCAACAAAATAAATGTAGAAAAAAGAACAAAACAAAACTACTCAGTTTGCAAATATCAATGTGATTAACTAATTTAGTCAACAATCATCAATGAACTTAAAATTTCTGAGTAGGGGCCAGGGATTTAGCTCAGCAGCATAAATATCTGCCTGGCAAGTATGAGGTCGTTAAGTTCAATCCCTGGTACCAAATAAATTAACTAATTAATTAAATAAAAGTACTGGGTATTCTGGGTGACTGATTTGGGAATGGCAATGCCCAATATATGTACCATTATCGTCCTCTGTTGTTTTGAAATTTTTTTCTTTATGAAATAAAATGGATTTTTTTAAAAAATCACTTAGCAAAATATAACTAGAAAATAGGTTATTAACAATGTCTCAGAATTTACTGATTAATTTTATTATAAAGTGACTACATACAGGGGGCTGGGGATTTAGTTCAGTGGCATAAGTACCTGCCTTGCAAGCATGCAGTCATGAGTTCGATCCCTGGGTACCAATAAAAAAAAAAAAAAATGACTAAGTACAATGTAGAAATTCAGATCACCAATAGTGAGATACAGTGGCATTTTAAATTTCATTCTAATACATAAAAATGGTATTATAGGTTTCATTTTACTAAATAAATATATAAGAGCTGAGCATGGTGGTGCACATCTGGAATTCCAGCACTAGGAGACTGAGGGAGAAGGATTGCTGGGAGTTTGAGGCCAGCCTGTGCTACAAAGTGTGTTGAAAGCCAGCCTGAACTGCACTGGGAAACCCTGCCTCAAAAAAACAAAAGGTAAATAAATAAAGACATAGCTTAAGAGTTTGGAATCTCTTGATAAGAACAAGATATAATTCTAAATCTCAAGGAACTCAATACTTCAGTGAGGTCACAAGAGGAAAAAATCATTTCAAGAGTGCAGCAAGTGATATAAAAGAAATTTTAAAAAAAGGAAGCAAAAGCCAGGTATAACAATGTATATCTATAATTCTAGCATTCTAGAATGCTGAAACAAAGATTGCAAGTTCAAATACAACTTGGGGAACTTAATGGACTCAGTGAGATCCATCTCAAAATAATTTTTTTTTAAAAAATGACTGACAGCCAGGTATGGTGGCACGCCTGTAATCCGAGCATTGAAGGGGCTGAGGCAGGAGGATCATTGTGAATCTAAAGCCAACCTGGACCACAGAATGAATTCAAGTCCAACCTTAACTACCTAGTGAGACTTTGTCTTGAAAAACCTGAACAAATGAATGAACAGCGATGTAGCTCAGTGTTAAGGCCCTAGACTCAGTCTCCAGCAACATACACACACACACACACACACACACACACACCTACACAAAAGAAAAAAAAAGAAACAGAATAAAGAAAAGGAGCAAGATAAACTCTACAATTTACATTACTTTAGTTTCTTACATGAGAGACTATGAGGAAGCTAATGCTTATTGTTACCATGATGCTAGAAAAACAGATTCACAAAAAGTGAAAGATTTCCCAACTGACATACTGAAATCACTAAAGAAGACAGAAGAGTGACACAGGCTGGTAATCCCAGATATTCGGGAGGCCAAGGCAAGAGAATCATAAATTCAAGGCCTGCCCAAGCAAAGATCTTATCTCAAAATAAAAACATTAAAAGGATGAGGGATTATCAGGCATGGTGGGCCATGCCTATAACCCAAGAACTAGGGAGGTTGAAGCAGGAGGATAGCTTCAAGCTTGAGGTCATTAGAAACTATATACAAAGACCCTGTCTTTAAAAAGGAAATGTGGGGGCTGCGGATTTAGCTCAGCGGCATAAGCACCTGCCTTGCAAGCAGGCAGTCATGAGTTCAATCCCTGGTACGGATAAAAACGAAAAAGACAAAAAAAAGAAAAGAAAAAATAAGTGTACTTTGCCCACAGAGATAGAATGATACTATGGGTAAGTATCAGTAGTTTAAAAACATTTTTACTGTCTCAAATAGAAGACTAAAAATAGAAGCAGGCTTGGCACATGCCTGTAATCCAGCACTCAGGAGGCTAAGGCAGGAGGACTGCAGTTTGATGCTAGCATGAACTGCATAGTGAAACCCTATCTCAAAAAGAGAGAGACAGAGACAGAGACAGAGAGAGAGAAAGACAGAGAGAGAATATACAGGCAGACTGGCAATGTAGTAATTAAGTACAAATTCTAAATGAAAAGAAATCTTAACCTCAACTTCTGAAATACCCCTAGTTTCTACCTAACAGCAAACAACCTAACTGTAGTAACAATAACTATATTAGGTAGGGTTGGGGATACAGCTCAGCAGCACAGACACCTGCCTGACAAGCACAAGGTCCTCAGTTTGACTCTAGGTAGCAAAAAATAAAATAGTAAGTAAAAATTTCTACGTGGTCTCTATTTTTTTTTTTTTGGTCTCTATTTTTATAAATATAAAAAAAAAAAAAACAGGATTGGTGAAGCATATCTATAGTCCTAGCACTTGGGAGGCTGAGGCAAGACGACTGCTTGAGTTTGAGGCCAGCCTTGTATTACAAAATGAATTCAAGGCCTGGCTGAACTGCATAGCAAGACCCTACCTCAAAAAATAAAATAATGAAAAGAAAATCAGGGTGGGGTATAGTTCAGCAACAAGGTTCTTGTCTAGCATGCCCCAGTCCCTGGGTTTGATGATAGTACCACAAAAACACAAACACATACATGCAAAAGAAAAATGGAAGACATTAAGGTTTCTACTTAGATACACCCCAAAGCCTCGTGCTTCTGGAAGGTGACTGGATCACAGAGGTATGATACTCATCAGTGGATTGGTCCATTTCTAAGTTTAAAGCTAAATGTGATTCAGAAGGTAAAGTCTGGTTAGAGGATGTTGTTCACTGCAGGCATGGACTGGAAGGGTCTCTCTCTCTCTCTCTCTCTCTCCTTCCCCCTTAATCTCATCCTGTTTCATCTCCCCTATGCCATGAGCAATTCTCCTCTGCCATGCTGCCCTGCCTTGAAACTATGGACTGAAATCTCTACAAACTCTGAGCCAAAACAAACCTTTCCTGCTATAAATTGTAGCTATCAAGTATTGTGACTCAGCAACGAAAAAGGAACCTAAGAGAGTAGATTTATCTTCTCAAGTGCTAAAGAATAACAGTACATGAATGGCCTCCCATGATCAGAAAACTGGTATAGTCAATGTACTTGAAACTCCTATTACAATGGTCCATGACACTTATACAATGGTCCATGACACTTATACCTGAGACTTGACCCGTCGTGTTCTCTTATGCAGAATATTCATCCTGGAGCCAGGCTCTGGGGAAGTATGGATATCAGCACTGAAAACCTCAGGTTCCACTTTTTCCTTAAGATCTAAATTAGGCATTTGTACGCCCTAAAAGATCAGAACACAGAAAGAGGACAGACTCACTGATAAGAAATGTGCTTAAGCATCAGTGAAATAATCAATTTCCAGTAAATCCCTAAAGTTACTAAAACCAGGTAGCAATTTTCTCTCAAATTGATCTTAGGCTGAAGGTAATCTCTATCAAAATCCCAACATCTAATTTTTTGAGTAATGTAAAGTGGAAACTGATCGTAACATTTATGTGGAAGCAAAGTGCTTCAAAATTCTGAAAAAGAAATTACAGAGGACTTATATACTACTGAGCATCAAATTTTACTAGAAAGCTGCAGTACATGGTATGGTAATAGTCTTAGACAGTTATAGTACCTCTTCCCTTATTCACTATGTTTCTAGTGGATGCCCGAAATTATGGACATAACCAAACCCTACGTATTTTTTTTCTATATATGTGTTCCTATAGTAATGTTTTAACTTACAAATCAGGCACAGTAAGAGATTAGCAATAGTAAAATAATTACAAGAACATAATAAAGCTTACATAATGTTGTCTGTCCCATTCAAAGTACTTTACCATATTTTCATCTTTTCACCTAGAGGAACCACTTTACAGCTTGTGTTTGGCACACCTGAATTGCCAGGAACATGACTCTCACACTTTGGAGCTATTATCAAGTAACATATGATGTACTTGAACATAAGCACTATGAAACTACAAGAGTAGATCTAATAACTAAGATAACTACTAAGTAAAAGGAACAAAGAAATAATTCACAGGCCAAGGATTTAGCTCAGTGGCATAAACCCCTGCCTGACAAGCGCGAGGTCCGAAGTTCAATCCTGGTACCACCAAAAAAAAAAAAAAAAAAAAAAAAGGAAATAACTCACTGTTGTACTAAGATGCTGAAAAATTAAAATAGTCAATTAAAAGATAGTTATTAGCAAAAGTAGTTAAAATGATAGTTATTAGCAGTATTGTCATTCTGTGCTGAGCTTGTTATCCTAGTAATCATGCATCAACCACAGTTATAGATTAACTGACCTTGTCATCATGCTGTTCTGTATGTGTTGTCCCCCTCCCACCCCAGTAACCTGTTTGCTGTGTCAATCTTTGTTCCCTTTGTAAGAGACAAATGATGCTGTGTCAACCATTGTTCCCTTTATGAGAGACAAATGTTCCTGGAATTGGCAGACCAAGGGCTATGAATTGGCTAACCACCCACTGTGAAATGCCTCTGACCTCAAGCAAAGGGAACAAAGGCCCACCTTGTTTCTGTTTCTCATCACTGTGTACTTATGAGCTAATCACAAATGACCTAAAAAAATCAGTCAAAATTCTAACGCAGTTGCACAGCTTTGCAAATTCCATCTGCACTGTGTCGCTGGGCCAGCTAAAATAAAAGCGCTTCTTTTAAAAAAAAGACGACGTCTTGCCCCGTTTTTCATCTCGGGGTCTTTTTGTGGGGTTTACAACGTTCACATCCAGCACAGGAAGATAATAAATTCTACCATCTTAACTACAAAAACATGAAATTTGGAAATTATGAATTGTTCAAATTTTCCATTTACTATTTTCAGACTACGATTGACTGGGGTGATTGAAACCACAGAAAATAAAACCACAGGTGAGGAAAGGACTATTACTGATCAATGCAACAATAAACTCACATATTTATGGTCAAGTTGATCTTCAACAAAGGTGCCAAGATAACATAATGAGAAAAAAATAGTCTTTTAAAAGAAATGGTGCCAGGTGTGAAGCCGTGTGTGGTGGCTCATGCCTGTAATCCCAGCACTCAGGAGGCTGAGGCAGGAGGATCGTTGCGAGTTCGAGACCAGCCTGGGCTACGAAGTGAGCTCAAGGCCAGCCGGAATTGCACAGTGAGACCCTGTCTCAAAAAGACAAAAAAAAAAAAAAAAAAAGAAAAAGAAAAAGAAATGGTGCCAGGTGTGGTAGTGCACAACTGTAATCCCAATATTCAAGAGGGGGAGGCTGAAGGATCCTGACAACTTCACAGCCAGCCTACTATTCACAATGAGTTCAAGACCAGCCTGAACTACATAAAGAGACCGTATCTCAACAAACCAATAATAAATAAATAAGTGAAATGGTGCTGGTACAAGTAGTATTGTACCAAGTACAACAGTATTGCACCAAGTAGTATGTACTCCCCAAATGAATTTATATCTTTACCTCAATCTATATATTAAAAAAATTCATGCAAAATATGTCACAGAACTAAATATAAAAATTAAAGTCAGGTGTGCTGGCACACACCTGTAAACCCAAGCCCTCAGAAGCTGAGGCAAAAGAATTGCTGCACCTGCCTGGACTACATAGTGAGTTCAAGGCCAGCCTGATCTATCCATAGTAAGACCCTGCCTCAAAACACAAGTTAAAATCATAAAACTTCTTAAGTAAAAACAAAGAAGAAAACTCTTGGCAACTCTAGCTTAGGAAAAGTTTTTTGTTTTCATTTGTTTTGTGAGCCAGACATAAAATCTTATTATATGATTTCATGTAAAATTTCTTACAAAGGTAAAAAAAAAAAACTACAGAGCCAGAATGCATATGAATGATAATATGAGTCTATAGGCAGTCAGAGTCTGTAGGCAGAAGAGAAACTATCCAAAGAATATTAAAGAACTTTTCTGACAGGCAGGAGTGTTCTAAAACTGGATTGTGGTGATTGCTACATAAATGTATAAATTCATTAAAACTTAACTATGATACACCTACTATGGGTAAGTCTATAGTACAAAGTTTAAAACAGAAGAAACAGGGGCTGGGGATTTAGCTCAGCGGCATAAGCACCTGCCTTTCAAGCAGATGGTCGTGAGTTCGATCCCCGGTACCAATAAAAAAGAAAAAGACTAAAAAATAAAAAAATTTAAAAAAAAAAAAAAAAAACAGAAGAAACAGGAAAAAATTTTCAAACTATCCTTTATCTTTTAAGCCATCAAAAAGTTACGATTTTTAAACTACTATATATACCTTGCTTTCAAACATTTCAGTTTCTAGAGAAATCAATTCCAATATGTAAACAATTACTAACTTGTGGTAAACATAATTTATAAGTTAGAAAACAAGATATTCTCAACTCTAAGAACAATGATACATCTTACCATAAGGCTAACACCAGACTGGAAAAGTTCATATGGGTAGAGAATTCTTTCATAGTGGGACTTCAAAAGAGACCCAGTTCCTTTTCCTGGCAGATACCCCAAGCGGCTACCCACTTTAGACCATTTCTTCTCTTTGGTGACCACTTCAAAACCTCCTTTGCTGGCAACAATCTGAAAAGAAGGTTAAGTTATTTAAGGAAAGATTCAAGTATCTTAACTCTGTATCTTGTTGCTAAATACAACAATTATTCTAGGCTTAGTTTCAAATATTCTTTCAGTAAATATGACCAAACTGATACTTGTCAACATTTAAAGGAACAGCCAATGATTTTTTGGAAATGTTAAACTAAAATTTAGGCCCAGGGATATAGCTCAGTGGCACAATACTTGCCTGGCAAGTACAAGGTCCTGAGTTTAAGTGTCAGTACCAAAAAAAAGCGAGATAAAATTTAATGAATGCTATACCTACCATCAAACAATGCATTCAAAAATATTATACAAATTTATACTTTGTGTTGTACTCTAAGAAAATAGCTTCGTTATATGTTATTATAGCAAACCTGTAAAGTGGCTTACTAAATGTGGTTTTTTTATCCTTTTTCCCTGATATGTTAAGTGACCTAATTGATATGTTGAGCAATACTCTCCTCTGTAACGAATTGCAAGAATTTCACTTAATTGAGATGTTAACCAGAGCGGCCCTCTACAAACAAGAAGAGTGGTGCTAAAACAAGCTAACCAGGGTTGTTAATCACTGTTAGGCGCCTCTATTCTTCACTAAAGAGCTAAAGAAGACTAGGAGACGCAACAATTTACACATTGTTTGAAGTAACTTGTTTATATGCAGGGAGATTTGCGTATGAGTTTAACCTTTTTACCTAACCTTAGTTACTTTTCCCAGAAGATAGATACCCGCTGTTTTCCTGTTCTGTAGCGCGCCTTATTGCCTCCCTCCACCCACCTATCTGGGCCATAAAGAATTTGGGTTTCTGGTGACCTCTCCCCGACCCGGTGATAATCTGTCATAAAAGGAGCCTGCCCCAATTTTAAGAACTGCTTAGCTTAAAAGAAATTACCGGGTAATACTATGGCCCAAACCCCGATCGGTGCTTTCCTTTTGTTCTGTATGTATCAATGGGTTAGATATCAGATCTTTGTAAAACTTAAGTTCCAGCGTCTCATAACTCGTGACCCCTTCACACTCACTAGCGAAGATGAGCTGTCCTGGGATAATTAACTCTCCACTTTCTTCTCCAAATATTGCTGCAGATGTGCCACTCTGAGATAATGTCAGTCTGCAGGATGGGAGTAATTTGAGGAACACCAGGAACTCCCGAGATTGTCAGAGCTAAGTGGACAGCAATACAGCTTCCAGATGCAGGTCAACAGGTTTAATGGCCTTGCAGGTTTCCCCCCACTTTCCCTTACTTTTAAAAACCCCTTTCCCCAGTCTTGGGCACGCAGTCTTTGGGTCGATCCGGGAGAGACTGTGCCACCGGGACTGGCTCAATAAAGCCTTTGCTACTTAAATTTTTGGACTCTTGTTTCCTTGGGTTTTATACCAGGGCCAGAGTTATAACACTTTGTACATTATGTGCTGTGAGAAAACTAGATACATATATATCTTCATAAACTAATTTGAAATAATAAAAAATACACATGAAAATAAAAGTTGTATGATATAAAGTTTGAACTTAGAAAATATACCAAAAATTTATAGCCTTTAACAAAAATGCAAACTATGGATTCAGATTATAGTTCTGAAAAACCTTAAGAATAAGCGGGCTAGACTGTATTCAGAAATAGATCGAGACTCTGGATTTAATCCCAGCATCATAAAAAAGGGAGGAAAGGAAAAAGTTTTATATCGAAGACCATGAGACCATGAAGGAATGGCAAGGAAAGATGAAACTGCAACAGACTTACTGGCACACAGAACAAAATAAAAATATAGTAAGAGAGGAAGTGATCGCTCATTGGCCTACTTGGCTGAAGGCTCCTATCAAGCTAGGTACTACAGAGAATATGTAGGCATCAAAGCCCCCATCTTTCTACAACTGAAAATCTACATTCTACCCAAAAATATAGGCCATTTCCAGTTTTACCATGAAGAGAATTAAGAGGGCTATGACATAGTATTTCAAATCAAACATTTCTCCTATGTGAATACACACTACTGTAGTTTGCTATATGGAAAACCTGAAAAACGTAACACATAGAATTATTATATGATCCTAAATTTTACTTCTTTTTTTTTTTTTTAATTTAAGGAGAAAAGAAAAGAAAGAAAAAAAAACAGTGAAGGGGTACAAGTTATACAGATTTACAGAAGAAAAAAATGCACAGTAGGAAATCACTAGTTAATGGATTACATATTGCCATCTTAGAAATAATTGTTCAAGTCACAAAATTAAAGCTTGTAGAGTGGACATTCCAACAATGATACTGCAAACAGTTCTGTTCAATGATCCAATAAAACTCTGTGATATCATTTTCTATCTTATACATTTAAATATACATGCAGTTATATAGTTCAGAGCACCTTCTTTTCCTCTCTTTTGTAAGTGACTATTACACATTTTGGGTTTCATTGCTCCCACGGTTCTTATTGCTTTTTTGGAAGAGAGTAAAACCAAATGTGACATAACAGAACAGAATCGGTCAAGTCAAAAGGGTGGACATAATAGATAATATAAAAACATAATACAAGGTGATCAACAATGGTTACCATAATGCCTCCCGCTATTTCTAATAGAATTGCCTATATCATTAGTCTAAATTTTACTTCTGTACGTATACCCAAGATTACTGAAACTAGAGACCCAAACAACTGCATCAGTCACAAGAAACAACTCATGCCCATTAACAGATAAATGAATAAACACACAAACAAAAACATATGTATAAGCCGGGGTTATAGCTCAGTGGGACAGCACCTGCCTGGCAAGTACGAGGTCGTGAGCTGGATTTCTGGTACACACACACACACACACACACATACACATATGAGAATAGACGTATGGTTTAGCTTTTTTTTTTCATATATATATATGAAAATAGACGTATGGTTTAGCTTTTTTTTTTTTTTTTTTTTTTGCTTATTTCTGTTTGAGAAAAGGTCTTGATATATAGTTCAGGCTGGCCTTAAACTCACTATGTAGCCCAGTCTAGCCTCAAACTTATAGCAATCCTCTTGCCTCATCCTCCCAAGTGCTGGAATTACAGTTGTTTGGCTTTAAAAAGCCAAACCCTATAACATAGATGGAACATGAAAACGTAAATCAGAGAAAACAGTGACCACTGTATAATTATATAATGTACCAAGAATAAGCAAATTCACAGAAGCAAAGTATAATAAATGTCACTAGGGGTGGGAATAGGGGAGTTTGGTAAGTAAGCACTGGTAATGATTATACTATAGTGAACAGACTTAAAGCCACTGAACCCTCAAGCTAAAAATGGTTATAACTGGTAAGTGTGGTAGTACATATCTGTAATCAGGTGGTTAGGGCAGAGGATCATTATCAATTTAAGGTCAACCTGAACTATACAGTGAGACTCTGTTTCAAAATCTAAAAAGTAAAACAAAGTTAAAATGCAGCTGGGGATGTTGCACTGTAGTAGAACACTTGCCTAACACATAAAGGTCCTAGGTTCTATCTCTAGCACCTAACAAAACCAATGGTTAAAATCCTAAATTTTACTATGTATATTTTTTCACAATTTAAAAAAAAAAAAAATGACTAAGAGACCTGGGCATAATAGTGCACACTGTAATTCTAGCTATTCATCAAGCTCAGGCAAGAGGACCAGAAACTTAAGGCCAGCCCAGGTAACTCAGAAACAACCTGTCTCCAAACAAAAAATAAAATGGGCTAAGGACGTAGCTAAGTGATAAAGCACTTGCCTAGCAAGCCTCAGGTCCTAGGTTCAATCCTCAGCACCAGGAAAAAAAAAGAGAGACAAAGAGCAGGGCATAGCGACAAGCATCTGCAGTTACAGTTCCAGCACTCAAAAGGCTGAGGCAGGAGGATCACTCAGTTCAGATGTTCTAGTGTTGTGTTAAAACACTGCTTTAGAGAATGAACTCTGGAGCCAGACTATCAATGTTCAAATTCCAACTCTGACATTTAATATTTGTGTGACCCAGGCAAGTTACATAATTTGTGACTTAGTTTCCTATATTTCTATCATTAAAATAATAAAAACTTTTGGGGCTGGGGTTCTAGCTCAGTGGCATAAGTACCTTACCTTGCAAGTACACAGCTGTGAGTTTGATACCCAGTACCAAAAAAAAAAAAGTAGTAAAAACTTTTAACAGTGCTTGCCTCATTATGAGCCTATACTGAGAAAAAAAGACATAAAACAAGAAAAGCACCAAGAGAAAGCACTGTATCAATGTTCACTACAGTATAAATATCTGTGGTTGGTGAGGGTATACATACTGAAACTAGTGAAATGTTCTTAACTCTTACACTTGAATGCAATTACAGACAAAGATAAGACCATAGCCAAAGGACAACTGTCTAGTGAAATATCTAAAAGTATGGTACAGGGGATGGGACGTAGCTCAGCGGCATAGTGCCTACCTGGCCAAGGATGAGGCCAGGTTTGATTCCTGGTACCAAAAAAAAAAGTATGGTATAAATTCATACATTGAAATAAATAAATAAACTCACTCATACATTCACATACATGAGCTGAACATCTCTACAGCACCTTCTATCACACCTTCAAAGCAACCATATCTGCTGATAAGAGCTAACCAGAGGGGGCTGGGGGTTTAGCTCGGCGGCATAAGCGCCTACCTTGCAAGCAGGCAGTCGTGAGTTCAATCCCTGGTACCGATTAAAATAAATAAATAAATAAATAAATAAATAAAAACCCTTAAAAAATTAAAAAAAAAAAGCTAACCAGAATGAAAATTGCGTGAGAAAAAATTATTTTTCCAATTTTATATTACAGAGAAGACATAATGACAGGCTATCCAGCTATCTAGATAGGCTAGAAAAAGGGCTATCTAAACCTTGCAATCCAGCACTTGGGAGGTTGAGGCAAGCAGATCATTGTGAGTTAAGAGGCTAGCCTGGCTAGATAACAACAGCCTGTCTCAAAAAAATAAAATTAAATTAGAAATAAAAAAGGAAGCCAGGAATAACACCACCCATCTG